TTCCCACCACGTTGCCATGTCAATAAGTGGGGCGTCTCCTCTGGTGGACCTATATAGCACGTGTCTGACACTTTCATTAGCCAGGACTCGAATTTCGGAGGTTAGCAAATTCCCACCGGGGGACCAAAGTGGTTCCTGATAACCTAGGCTTTGGAAATTGGCCAATTTTTAATGATGGAAGCCACTCAAAGTTCGACGTGCAATTAATGCAGCTCAGCTCGGATGGGGATGCCACCTCAACATGTCCGTGGCAAAGCTTTGGGACCTGGGATAAATCTCTTTGCACGTTCTATCTAGACTCGACAGACTCCACCTCCGACCGCACCGCAGCATACCACAGTACCCATCCAAAAGCAAAAGTTAAACTTTGCAGCAACAGTTCCATGCAATGCCATTCATTAGCATGCAAATTTTAAAATTTATCAGCTGGTGGTCTCCGGCTCTATCCAGGGTCTGTTGGTTCTCTGATGCTTCTCTCTTCTATTTTGGGGCAGGACCGCAGCTGGTGGAAGCTTTACTAACTGCCAGAGCTCGCATGACAAAGTTTGTTGCACAAATTATGCACAGATAGAAATCGAGGAGAGCTGGAAAAGTCTCCAGCCGTATGTACAATATGTTAACAACTGCCTTGGATGGGTTGGATACGGCATCATGCTCAGGGTGCAACTTATTTATCGCCATGACCTTAACAATATGCTGGAGTGCAACGTTGTCTATGGCAGATGGCTCTTTCGGCTGGCTGTTGCGATAGTTCAATTAAGTTTGAGTAGTTCCAATGAATTGACCTTTATGGTGGGGGATATTCTCCGGCACTTAATTGTGTAAGAGACCTTATTTCAGTCTGGGATTTGCTGGAACTTAAGGTTCGGGGCTGGCCTTTATTGACCGAAAGAGTGGTAGGTAGGCAAGGTGGAACGTTAAATGATTCAAGCACTTCTGTCGGTGCCTTTGTTTTGGTTTTGTTGATAATGTAATTCCTTCTTTATTTGCTTGGCTGGTTTGTTTACAATTTAGAACCTGCTGGTGTTGCTACTTGAGTTGTGGGCTGGTGGACTGCCTAGTGTAGTGTCTTGGGTTCGGTCTGATGTACTGCCTGCTTCTTCGGACGATCTTGGCCCTGTTAAGCACCTGGCGATCGCACCTGAGACCGTGATTTTCCATGGTGGCAAGAGCCATGGCTCGTTACAATTGAAGCTGCAGCGAATAGAGCGATGAGGCAGCGAATAATTGTATTCCATTGAAGGCAATAGAAAATTTGAAGTAGTACTTGTATAAAGTTTTCCTCTCTGGAGACGTGGCCGTCCACATTCCAAGGCAGCCGTAATTTCGCAATTTTCACACTGACGCATAAAATTTCAGGGGATGCCACATAAGAAGGATTTATCCCCCCTTGATTGCACTTTGAGGGCAATGAAAAAGTTTCGCTTAGAAAATGTGCCGGGCTCGTCAAAGTCTCACAGGAAGGCTGCTGCGTATCTGTCAGAGTCATTACCAACCAGCTGTGTTTCCCAGGGCTTCTATACATCAAACAAAGGATAGATGTTGGCAGTGATACACATCTAAGTAGTCAACACACTTATGCACTTAGTCGCGGGTTGTAATTTGCTCATAAATTTCAATTAAAAACTTGACGATACAATGACTTAATTGTGGTCTAGTTTTTTCATGTCGATTTATACTAAGACAATGTCTAAAGCGGATTTAAGATAATATTAAGCAATTCCTTCTTTTCTTTTCTGATTGTTTGCTCTCCATCTTTGTGATACAATACACAATTTCAAGAAGTAACACGATCATCCCATTCCAACATACCATCCTCTCAGCAACAGGTTGAAACCCGACATGTTGTGTTAGTAGGAGGGCCTTTCTTTAAAATTTCCCCCTATTATCTGCACTGTTAACCAACATAATATTAAGTTCTCGGCCTGAGCATTCGTAATCGAATGCTGAGCCGAATGGTTCATAAATGAAGGAAATCTAGGGAAAAATAATCCAACATTTTGTATTTGTAAATACGTACATATGGTTTTTTTTATTTGTATTTTCAAGAAATGCTCAGCATACTTGAACCCACTAATTATAGCCAATCGATTTCTCCCCGGAAACTATGCCAGGTGCGGTTTACTTTTAGAATTGTATGCGTTGAATACGCATACACCCGCCCCCCGTACAGCACATGAATTATTTAGTAAAATCAAATTTATTGCAGAATTTTGCCTAGAATAAGGATACTACCGCAGGAAACACACAAAACGCCCAAAAATGTGTTTGCAGCAAGTGCAAAGGAGTTTAAGAACATGCATAACTTCTTTAAGACCCTCATAAATGCCAGAACCCATATCGGCAGCTATAATATCTAGAATCGTTAGGTTCATTGAACTTAATAGGGCCAAATAATAAATTTTAAACCTTGATTACGAAAGGATTTAGCCAAAGTGATCTTTAAAAGAAAATAAAAACTGAGAGAATATTATAGCTGGTTGCTTAATCTTTTTATATATTTTTGCTTTTTATTCTGTAGGTAATTTCAACGCTGAAGCAATATATTTAAAGTGCATTTAATAATTTTTAATGGAATGTTTTATTTTTATTTACCGCCAAAATGGGGACCAATAAAGGAAGCCGATTGGAGTTCAGGCAATTCTAATATGTATTAATTTGCATTTTAAGTGAACAGTTTTCTACTCAGTAGATCTCACTGCAATTTTTTTGTTAATGAAAAACAGTCATATGCTTTATGTTCAAAGCCAAGAGCAACAAATTCTTCTCAGTAACCGTACAACGTCCAAAGCACCCCAATTGATTTTTAATCCAACCAATAAAACTGCAACCAAAGCGGGGCAAGGTGAAAGCAAACAAGTTGGTTGAAAAGCGGATAAAATCAGGCAAATTAAATAACAAAAAACGCTATTCAACTCAATTGCACAGGAAAAGCGGAGGAAGCGGAGGAAAAAACAATAAGAAAGCGAAAGCTGAAAAATATAAAATCTAAAATTGACCATAAACCCAATGCGCGAACCATGGTGCTCCAAAAACGTAGATAAGAGCGTTAAAGGGAACACCAAATTGATATACGCTTTCCTTTTATTATCACGATTACGAGAAGATATTTGCAACACAGAAAAGGATCCATTTCATCCATTCGACCTTCAATTGAAACAATGGATCTGTGAGGGTATTCAAAGGCCAGCTATACAGTCAGTTTTGCTTTTTCCTCCTTTTTGTTTGGTAACCATTTCCCTACTCTGTTCAAGGACATACCGTAATTTGCTGGGCAGACTTGAGGGGTGACAGCCGCCTTGCCATCATAGTAATTTGAAGAAGAACTGATAATCTTTGACAGGCGAAAAGAAAGTATCCTTGACTGGCAGCACCCCAAAAAGGTTGCAGAGCTTTAGTGAAATGTGCTTTCTCCTGCTTTTGTATGTCCTCAGCTATCTTTTGTTTTTTTCCTGCAGTTTAATGTCCGCCGGCATTCGTTCAGCTCAAGCAAAACCAACCAAATTCATGTCCCTTGAGTTTGTACAAGCAGCAGCAGCCTCAAAAGAATTTCAGTTTATTGTCACTTTTATGCTAATCGATTTGAAGATTCTAGCAACAGCTGCTACAGCACTGGAAACTTGAAAATATTCCCTCTAAAAATTTATTAAAAATTGTTTTTAGCCTTTAAATCTATCTTTTGAATTAATTTTGGATTTACCGCATGGAAAAAACTAGGTTTTAAGATTTTGGGAAAATTTTGTATACTTTTTTCCCAGCTGTTTCCAAACGTACTTTACATACTCCTCGGAACCCTTTTTTTTTGTCAAGTTAAACATGTAAATGATGTACGAAATGTGTAACACATGTGAGTTGTGGTCAGTTCTGTGCTGCATTTGGTTTTGCACGACTCAACTGATTATGTTATTCAGATTAGCCGCAAATGTCTGCCGTCAGTTGGACGTCAGCCCCATTCTGGTCCCAGTCCTAAACTATTACGCAATGTGCCATATCCGATTTGAGGTTGAAACCAGCCTACACACGTGCTTGGGGCAACCCAAATTGAGTAAATTTCAGTGAGCTTTCGGCTGTCAGGACGAATGAGTGTGGAGCAGATCATAAGAGCAGTCCCATCATTTGCCCACCTGCCTGCCGCTTTCTGCTGGTGGCGTTGATTGCAAAACTTCAAGTGGGTCTGACAGGCCTAAAAAAAAAAACAACATGAGAGGCAACTCCAAGAATGGGAAAGCAGGGGAAAAAGTGAAGACGCCTGGCAAACCCGTCGGGAGCTAACAGAAATTTGGATTTTATGCTTATTTACATTTGCTGGCAGTCAGCAGGTGGCCCGGCATCAGGACCACCCAAAAAGAGGTGCAAAATGTGGATATACGTATACTCACATATACTTCACATACGAGTATCACATAAAATGTACATCTGTACGTATATATTGAGCACATACATATTTATCCATCCCTTATAATAAAAGCTCAAAAATGTTGACAACTTTCCGCTATCGCATATGGATATGGATCCGTTCCATTAAAGCCAACTGTTGCTGGCTACATTCTGTGAAATTTATACGACTATGTACATTGATTATATTTTCATTGAAGGGGGATTTTTTTTCCACTGATTTTTTAACAGCAGGCTGTTGCTTCTCGTATTGGCGCGTGGTACGGCGTAGTTCCATTGAAATTGAATTGAGAAACTTTTTAAAGATACAGCCGGAAACGGAAAAAAATCACTCCATTGGTTGGTAACAAATTTAGATTTTATTGATCCAAAAAATAGCCACCACGGGTATCCTTATTTAGTTTGCGCAAATAAATATATACATTTTTATTGAGACCAGGCTAAGGAGGTTCCCATGGAATAATAGTAATGAAAGCGAGCGGCAGTTTCAACGAGGCGAATGAGTAATTTATGCTAAGCTATTGACTTGATGACATGATCAAATGTGTATTCATTCCAAACTGAAGACAGATGAAGACACTGTGGACCCAATAGTCCACAGAGTTTCACTCATAGTCCTCAGGCTCAAAGTAAAAAGGACATCGAATTGGAGGAGCACCATCTGGCTGGATGCCATACGTGGATACGTGGCGGTACCTCACAGCAATAATAACATGACAGGAAAATGCTAGAAAAATCCATTCCCAAACTGAATTTTCTCCCATTTCGTGGTGGTAATTGGGAAAGTAAGCTACTTTCACGATATGCAGGTCGGAACAAGAGAGGAATCTTGAACTACAGCTACCCTGTAATTTATTCAATTCTGTGTTAATTAGGGACTTTCCTTATTGATTAACTGGTATTCCGAAATGTCCAATTCTCTTTAATGTCCGCAAACACAGAAATAATCAACAAATCATTGGGCTTCCTTCATTCAATGTTGTTCTTGTTGATGTTTTGATGTTGCTAATGGAAGCCGCAGGCAGCTGCCTTGTTTGTGTAGCACTACCACTCAGGCTTTTGACTTAGCCTCTGGACATTCATACCGTCAATAGCGCAACAAGGGCTCGCCTTCCGCATTCCCCAAAGGAACACCCCAGAGGTGTTCGGTTCTATCTAGGGAGATCCTTTTCCGTGATTCATTTTTCTGGCCTGCACTGTCGTGCGCTAAATGCGTAAAGGTTGCCTGACTATTCATTAAAAGAGTTATAATAATAGTAGTAATGGTAATAGTCCAAGAGAAATATTAAGCGTAACCAAACATAGGAGACCGAAATGGTTTTACCTAGAAAGTCAATGAAAAAGCCAACCCCATGCTGATTTAAATTCTGCTATTCCACCAAGTGGCGAGAGGCAGTGCTTCAGTAACCATATGTACAAACAAAACTTGAAAAAAAAACCAAAACGAAAAAGTAGTGTGCAAACTTTTTATAGAGTTTCCGCTGCAGCCAATTTTGATCAGTTTTTGCAAACATTCGTTACTCCTCAACCGGGCTGTGAGCTCAACTAATTTTTGATTGTCTGTGGAAGTAGAATTTTACGAGTAAATGGATGCTGAGGTTTATAGATGTTGGAAATAGTTTAAATGCCATGCGTTTAAGGTACAACGTTAGATTTAACTCTAAGGTATATTTACTTACATTGGATACAAGATTCCCTGACAAAGAACATCAGAGTTTGTGGAACATGTAAACAATATTGTCGAGGTATGCCCACAAATTCGTATCGGAATGTAAATAATGTATCGCAATTTGAAGTAAATTAGCACAAATACCAGCTAAGTACCTGTGTGTCTTTATTTCTTCATAATTTGATTATTATCAAATTGAACTCTTGCCCCGACTTTTTCTTTTCTCTTTAAACAAATAAAATAATGAAGGCAATAGAACATCCAAATTGTTGCATTAACCAGCATATAAATGTTGTGGACCTGTTTTCTATTACGACAATTCATTTCCGGACCAGACAAGAGCAGAGCCAAGAGCCAGAGCTAACCAGGAGCAGGACCACACCAAACCCGACCAAAGCCAGAACAAAGCGAAACTTAACTGGTTCCCCTTGGGGTCTGGGGTCCTGCCATCTGATCCGTCTGCCCTGCCTGTTGTGAAGTATGTCTGGAGCCACACTGAGTACAGCGGGGAGCTTTTCACCGTTTTCTTTTCGGTTTTTGTTTTATTATTGTTTTTTTTTCTTTTTTGCATAATTATAAGCAATCTAGTGTGCCGCCGCCACTTTATGACAAGCACATGGGGCCACTTGTGGGCGAAGATCTGTCAGTCCTGGCCACTGGAGTCTAATTAAATTATCCTTAAATACTGAGAGTGGAACAGCAGGGAGGTATAATTATTTAGTAATTATATTTAAATTCTAAAGCATAAGTAAAATATTTATGTAGCTACGCAAATCTTTTTTCGAATAATAAAATACTTTCAGTAGACAAAACAAAATTATTTCAAAGCCGTCACTTATGTATGTGTGCCTCGTACTCCCACAAAATAGTCTGGCAAAGTGTCGTACATTTTGACAGGCGTTTCATGCGTTTAATTTAAATGGATGTGGATAGATACGGAAAGCATTTCAGATACACTGAACAATTTACGGCTAGATGTTCACTAGATACCTTTTCAATTTTGGGCGTACAATTGTTTATGTTAGACGACCACAACGATATGGGAATTAAATTTAATTAATTTGCAGGTGTGCAAATGACATTTGAATTATGCCTTGGGTATCCGGAGGCTAGCCTTTGGACACACACAGAAACACGATACGGCTCTATGTAAAGAAGGCCTCTAACTATTGCGCACAGCTGAATGGTGCACATAATTTTGGGTACGAAAGTCATTTGGTGCTTTGGGTTTCGTCCCAGTATTTGATTAGATCCTCAGATTAGTTCTACATCTGGCCTCTATCGTTGCTTCTTCTCCGACTTAAATCTGAGATTCTTATTACATCATGTGGGTGTAAATGCTTCTGGGCGCTGCGCGGCATTAACAAAGCGTACAAGTCCTTCCCAGTTTCCCAAGGATAGATAAATTAAACGCCCGACTATTAAAAATGCATATTCCCATGGCGACAGACTCCGCAATTGGCTAGGGAAAAGGAGGGTATCCTAACCAGACATCAGGCGACGCCTAACCATTGTCTAAGCACTGCAGGCAAAATGTCAGGAAACTGCAGCAGAAAGCAATTGCAATGGCAACAGAATGACGCCCCGAGTGTCTACAGCAATTCATTGGACCCCGACGAGGCTGCGATGGAAAGACAAAAGGAATGGGTGGACCGAGACCCGACCCATGGAGACTTCTCTTACAAAATGATTTTTTGCTTCAAATATTTTAAAGCGGCTCCGAGACCCATAAACAATTTAATGTCTACAGTTGGGCCCTACCTCTAGGACAAGGCCCAAGCAGGCGGATGATGGTGCAGCTGACAGTTCGACAGCTCCTGAATGGATGGATGGATGGAGCTGGAGCCAGCCGCAGCCTGCGGAAAGGGTCTGTCCCGCATCTGTCCCTTGGCCCTTGGCCCTTGGATTGCAGTTGTGGCCACATTTATTTACCCTCTTCTAGCCGTTGGGATTTGGCCACACTGTGTAAATATGTGCCAGAGCTGCCAATGTCCCATCGCCAGTAGCAACTCCTACTGCCCCGGGCCCACTAGAGCAATTTCACAGCAGTTGATTGCAGCCACCACTCAGGGTTCTTTCTTTTTGTCTGGACGTTGATATGCAATGACTGCACCATCAAGTGGCCCATGCGACACCAAGCCGAAGCCTGTTACGCGCGGAACCCAGGCAGAAACGCAGCCCTCCTCCCGCCCAACCGACCGAGGGGCGCTGCCGCATGACGCGCGACGCGTGTTACCGAACCGATCGCGAGCATGCAGGAAGAGATAGGTGTTAGACTAAAATTCGAGGAAAATTAGAGCTAAACACAACTCAAAGAGCTAAGCATGCAAAGATAGCTAAAAAATATAACTAATTACGGGAAAGGTATGTTAGTATTAGTGATTTAAGAAGAGGAAGGGAATTAGTAGTTGATATTATGTGGTAAAGGGAATTGAAGTCCGAGCAAAGTACCCTAAATGGTTCGTGCAAGGAATAATTCGATCTACAAAGCGGAAGGAAAAGAGGAATGAAGTTTCTAGTAGATCTAATAGGAATCGTAAAGTTTATGCGGCTCAACAAGTCAGGGCTATCTACATCACCCTTGATCAGGTTGTGCATAAAAATCACACCAAGCATTTTTCTACGACTAACTAAGGTTGGAAGGTTTATTAAAAGCAATCTACGAGGATAAGATGGCAGTCTCACACCTGCATCCCAGTTAAGGCCACGCAGAGCAAAAAGTAAAAAGTTTTTCTGGACTGATTCTATACGGTCCTGGTGTACTTTGTACTGAGGGCACCATACACAAGAGCCGTATTCTAAAATCGGACGAACAAGCGAGATATAGAGAGTCTTCGTTATATAGGGGTCGTCAAATTCCTTTGACCACCTCTTTATAAACCCAAGCACACCCATGGCCTTATTTACCATGGTAGAAATGTGTTCAGAAAACTTCAACTTTGGGTCTAATTTAACACCAAGATCATCAACCAAGGTAATTCTCTCAAGAGAACCACCGCAGAGGCTATAAGGAGCCAATAGGGGGCTGGAGCGATGAAATGTCATTACTTTGCATTTCGAGGCATTTAGGTGTAACATATTTGCACAACACCATGATTGAAAGTTATTGAGATCGGATTGCAAGCGAGAGTGAAATGAAATGTCCTTATACTGGACACAAAGTTTAACATCATCCGCATACATGAGTACTCGAGAGTTTGTTAATACTGAAGGCAGATCATTAATAAAGAGTGTGAATAGTAGGGGGCCTAGATGGCTGCCCTGTGGTACTCCAGAAGTAACCTTAACAGGTGAAGAGAAGGAGTTTTTGAAGAGGACTCTTTGAGACCTAGAACAAAGGTAGCTAGAAATCCATCTCAAGAGATTAGGCGGAAACCCTAAAAGGTCAAGTTTTTGTGCTAAAAGGGAATGGTTTACAGAATCAAATGCTTTACTAAAATCAGTGTAAATGACATCCGTCTGCAAGTTACCTTGAAAGCCTTTAATGATAAAAGAGGTAAACTCTAATAAATTTGTGGTTGTTGATCGTCGCCTTATAAATCCGTGCTGGGACGGAGATATAAGTGATTTGCAGAGATGTTGCAAGTGCGGAGTTAAAATTTTTTCAAACATTTTAGGAATAGCGGATAACTTAGATATACCCCTATAATTATTTGCATCAGACTTGCTACCTTTCTTATGGAGCGGAATAATAAAAGATTCCTTCCAGATGGGGGGAAGCATGAAGAGTTAATAGATAGGGTGAATAGTTTAAGCAAGGGTCCACACAGAGCGTCGGAACAGTACCTGAGTACACAGCCGGGAACTCCGTCGGGACCTGGTGAAAACACCGGCTTAACTAGTCGAAGATCATGAAGCAGTGAGCTTTCATTTAACAAGGGGCTGAAGATGCCATTCGACCTTGGTAAACTGTATGGATACGGCTGACCAGAGTAGCTTTCATGAGAATAGGTTGTTTGGAAAAATTTGGCAAAAAGATCGGCAATTGCCTGATCATTGTTTGCTGACATATTGAGAAAAGATAACGAGGATGGATGTACGGACGTTCTACGCTTACTATTTACGAAGCTGTAAAACTGTTTAGGGTCCTGTGAAAATCGTATCCTGCATCGAGATAGGTAGTTCTTATAGCATTGAGCGTTAAGAACGGAGAAATTTGACCGAGCTATTACATAGTGAGAAAGAGAAGAGGGAGAACCAACTTCTCGAAATTTTTTATAAAGTCTTGATTTTAAATTTTTTAGACTGGATAACTCCTTGGTAAACCAAGGAGGTTTTCCAGATCTAACCGGACAAGAAAGTGGGACACAAGAATCAAAAAATGTGTCAAGTACATTGTAAAAAATGTGTGTGCCTTTCATAACGTCAGTGCACAAGTACAGAGCGGACCAATCAAAATCCCTAATAAGGTTATTAAGCTTCGTAAACTCGGCTTTACGAAAGCAGCGGACACGTTCGGATAGCCTACTCATTCGATCCAATACAGTAGGGCCAATATCGACTGACACTTCGAATGTAGGATGGTAGGAGTCTTCAGGTATACTGAGCGGAAGGGCTCGGGTTAACAACGCTATGGTCGGATCCGAGACAAAGCACAGATCAAGCAATCGACCCAAGGAATTTTTTACATGGTTGACTTGAGACAGGGATAGGTCTAGCAAGCCGTCGATAAAGTCATGTCGTGACATGGGCACAAGGTTATTAGACTCGTTTACCGAAGACCAAACAGCACCTGGCAAATTAAAATCACCAAGAACTATCATATGGTCTTTATCTGATAGCGAGGAAGAAACAGTTTTTAAAGCGGTCAGGTGATGCTCGTATATTAAGATATCCGAGGAAGGTGGAATATACGAGCAAGTAATGAAAATGGAAAAGCCTGGGAGAATCAGTTTTACGCACAGGAATTCCAGGTCTTGTTGAACCTGGACCATGAAATGTTCCGACGTGAAATTTGAGTCCACTGCAATAAGGACCCCACCTCCACGTCGAGACGAACGGTCATTTCTAAAAATTGTGTACCGACCTGCCAAAACTTCGGAACTAAGGATGTCCGGCTTTAACCAGGTCTCGGTGAACACAATAACGTGGGATGAGAATGCGAGACTCTCAAGGAAAAGAGTGCTGAGCTTACTACGCAAGCCTCTAGCATTCTGGTAGGTAACTACAAGAGAGGAAGTTAGTTTTTTGGATGGGTGGAAGTAGAGGTGGAAGATGAGGATAGAGATGGAGCACTGGTCTGAATGCTAGGAAGAGTAATGGGGGGCCTATTCTTTTTCTTAGCCTTAAACTCTTTAACCACCAAATGCTCTGGCCAAAACTTGGCGGAACAAATGGTTTCAAATTGAGTTGGGGAGACGCTTATCTTGAAGGAAGATATCTCCCTGGCGTAAGAAAAGTTAAATTTTTCCACCTTTAAGCCGACGGCTTTTATTTTGCTTTGTATAAAAGCGGTCACATCATTGGATGTGAGGTCAGGGGCTAGCCGCGAGACAAAAACTTGTCGCTTTGGTGGGACTCCCACCAGTGGTTTTGGCACCACAGGCCTAGTACCTGTGATGGCAGTATCCGGTGGTCCTGGACATCTATTAGCTGGTGGGAGCAAAACTGAGGGGATAGTTAAGGGGTTGGGTGCGGACTCGACGGACACGGACTCTACAGACATTTCTAACTGCATACTCTCCGAAGTGACGCATTCGGCTCCCGAATCTGCATCACCAGCAGCGATCGTTGCCCTTGGAGTAGCAAACGTAATCAACTGCTGCACTAAGGGAGTGGTCGGAGTAAGTTTTTCGGATGCCGGCGGACATGAGGCAGTCGGCACTTGCAAGTCCCGCGGAGTAGACTTCTTGCGCCTTGGAGACTCAGCCAGCAGCTGTAAACTGCTGAACTGAGTGTTCATGGCCAAGAGCCGATCGTACTGCTGTTTAAAGCCCACGATCAGCTCTTTGAAGCCACTCCGCGTCTGCCTCATGAACGAACGCATGTCGTTTTCCACAGCACGGCATTCCTCACAACTATAATGTAGGCCGTTGTTTTGGGAAATGGCGTCTCCTACACGGCCCGAGATCCCTACACATTTTGCGTGCACTACGCTTTCGCAAAGCCAGCAGGGGATATTGGGCTGGTCATGGGTGATCTGCTTCTTGCAGGTTTTTTTGGCACAGACGACAGAAAATTCCATATTTATGTCTTTTATTTTTTTTTTACTTCGGGAAAAAAAAAGTTCAAAACAAATAGCAATCAGACCACTGTGCAGAGCAAATGCTTAGAGCAATGCTTAAAGCGAAATCGGGAAAAAAAGAGAGAGGAGAGTGGTTGCAGCAACAGCTTATAAGTGAGAGCGTTACTGCACAAAAGGTTACAAGAGCGAGAGCGAAAGAACAGTTATTGAGAGTTAGGTGATAGAGAGAGTGATAGAAGGCAATAAATACGACAAAGAGCGGCTAAATGTAATGAGAGGGCGTACTTACGAAAAGCAACAACACAAACACACGACTAACCGACGCACAAAATTTATTAAATAAGTTGTGTTTTTACACAATTAACAGGCATGCACCCGCGGTAAAAGAATGATTTTAATGTATGTTAGTAAGAGAGTTAAATTATAGATAAAAAACACCGGCTGTTTAAGTTAAACAAAAGGAAAATGCGGAGCGCAAAACAAGGCAATATTGAACTCCTCGTGCTGTGTCAATCGAGGATTGAGCTGCTCCTCGTAGATCTGCAGCAGCTTCACCTTCTCCTGGTAATTGTCGAACAGCCAGGTGCCTTTGAGATTTTCCTTCTTCATTTCGTTAACCACCGCTTCCAATTCGTTGTGCCGCTGTTTGAGAATCACTCTATTGTCGTCACTCACGCGATTTCGTTTCTGGTTCTTGGCGCGCTCGTAATTATGCTCCAGCGAGTAGCGCCGCGACAGAGGACTCATCTTGTCGTACAGCCCATAGCGCAGCATCTGAAAGCGATCCGTCTCACAGCAATTCTCTCGCACTTGATGAAGACGGGCGATAATTGAATCGACGGCCGTGTTGGAGTGGGCACAGATAAGGATCTTGCGGTCCATTTTTAAGGCCGCCTGGAAGCTGATATTCGCAATGATCAAGGATTTGCCGGTGCCTGGTGGACCCTGAATCAGCGTAATGCTTGGCACGTTGTCTATGACACGTTGATACGTGCTGGTGCAGATGACCTCTTGGTGCGGGTTGAGCTTCGCGAAACCCTTGAAAACAAACGGTGTCCCATAGTAGGGTATACGGGCATTCCTCAGCATTTCGGTGGGCTTGATAATTCTTCGACAGAGTGGCGAGTGTGACAACTGATCGACAGCTCGCAGTGCGCTCAGATCCACCCTCAAGCTGTCCCCCACCGGGCGGGCGGTCAAGTGTTTGATCCCCTTAAATGTCTCCAGAGAAATGCCATCCTTAAGGATTTCAAAAATCAGCTCATGGCCTGCACAGGGTAAGGAAAGTGAGTAAGCGATGGGGATCCCATTTGATTTGAGTTGGCGTACCATTTTTGGTTCTTTGCTCCCGCAGATTGGCAAACGTCTCCTTGAGCTTGTCGCCGCTCGATAGAGTGTAGAGCATATACTTTACTGGCGGCTTACTGAAGACTAAAGGCGACAGATAATTCGAAATTAGAGGGGGAGGGTTCAAGGGGACGCCAACTCACTCCTTGTAATGCTTGAAGTTCTCGAATTCGGGTGCAATGGGCTTCAGGACATCTAAATCGGCCACAGCATCCACACTGCGCAGCTTTAGCCATTGATTTGCCCACTTGAGTATGGTCTCAAAGTAGGACGTTTTATCGTTCATCTGAATGCTCGACCATTCGAATTCTCGAATGCTGAATGCATGCCTAGTCTCAATGTATATGATCTGAACTTTGTCGTTAAATCGCACGCGTTTCGACATCTTCTGGAACCTCAACTTCTCCTCCATATCCTTCTCCATGCTGGCGAAGGTGACGCGATTGCATGTGAGCTGATTTGTAGCACGTCGGTTCTTGAGTGGCTTGAGGGGGTCCATTTTGGGCATCTTTGAGGGCGGCAGTCCATTGATGCCCTCAGTAAGGAAGGCACCACGATTAGAATTGCCCACTTTTGGCACACTGGTGGTGGCCTTTCTCTTGCTGCTGGCCGGCTGCTCGTCCCCGGCCGGCTTCTTCTCCGACAGCTTTTTGAGTGCAGCCGAAGCGCTACGCAGCTTGTCCCGATACTTGGGCAACGAAGGAGCCTCAATCACTTCTGGTCCCCTCATCTGCTTCATGTCCATGGCGTTGACAATGCTTGTCGGCAGGTCTGGTTCGGCTTCGGGTCCCTCGTAGTAGCAGACAGTGGCTCGGCTGCGAAGTCGTGCGCTGGGCTCTCTTTTCGAAGAAGATTCTTTCTTTGGCTTAGCTGGTGGCTCATTCTTTTTGGGTGCTTGCTCCACTTTGCATTTATCTGCTAAAGGAGTTTCTTTTTGTTCCTTCGCACAAGCGTCAGCAAACTGTTCGCGAGAGACGGTTACGGTTGATCGTCGTTGGAAGATTCGCGACTTCTTTTTTGCCACTTCAGGCTCCACTTTGGGAGGGGCCTTTCGTTTAGAAGGTTTCGATCGTTTTGATCGGCGAAGGGAGAATCTGCAGTTGTTGGTATCCTTACTGACTGCTTTAGTTTTCTCCACTTCCTTTGGTTTAGATGGCACATCTTTCTTCACAGAAGACTCCTTAGCCTTCGAGTGATTTTTGTTGGAAGCTGAAGGCTCCACTTTATCTTTGGTTTTGTCCACCAAAGGCACTTTATTTGGTTTCTCCCCGGAAGTGGCAGCCAATTCTTCGCGGGATACTGATACGATTGATCGTCGATGGGCGATTCTGGATTTCCTGTTGGAAACTGCAGGCTGCTCTGCTTTGGCTTTCTCCATCGAAGGAGCTTCCTTTGGTTTTGCGGGAGAATCTTTCTCTATAGAAGAAACCTTCGCCTTCGAGTGATTCTTGGAAACGGCATGCTGCACTTTATCTTTGGTTTTCTCTACGGAAGGAGTTTCATTAGGCTTCTCCACAGAAGTGACAGCCAAGACTTCGCAGGAGACAGCTATGGTTGATCGTTGACGGGAGATTCTGGACTGCTTGGTATCTTTGCTGGCTACCACAGGCTCCACATTGGCTTTCTTTGGTGACTTTTTTGACTTCTTGGATACGTCACGAACTGATTTACCGTTGGTTTTCTCCAATGAGCTATCGTTTTCTTCATTATGGGAGGACTCGTCCTTCAAGATCACGCTATCGAAATCCCAATCGTCATCTTCGCTATCTTCTGGAGGGAACTGCGGTCCTTCAAAGATGTCCTGCGTGAACAATTGACCGTCATCTACGGTGGAGTTCAAGTCGCTGCCAACAGACTTTGAGCGACTGGGAGATGGCTTTGACGATGCCTTGTCCGCTGTGAACGAGAAAAAGTGATTAGAAGAAGTATCCAGGATAGCGTATATTTACCCTTACGGATGTTGTGGGTGCAAGAGTCACTCTCATCCGAGCTGGAATCAATGCGCAGTGGCTTGGAGATTTCATCGCTGAAATCCAGTATGCGAAGCCGGCTACGGAAGTCGGTCACCTTGCTGCAGAGGTCGTCATCGTCGCTGTCCGTGATCACAATAATGTCATCGTCATCATTCGATGGAGACAAGGTTGGTCGTCTAATTGCCGCTATGGCCGTCGCCAATCTACGTGGGACGGAGGTGGACGTCGTCGAGCTGTTGTCCGAGGAGTTGGCTTGTCGCAGACTTGAGCTCACGTCCGAGACGCTCTCGACCACCTGGCGTCGCTTGGGTATCGGCTGGATGTGTGGCAACCGCGTCCGATTCACTGCATTCAGACTCAGGTTTGAGTTGGGATCATCGTCATCGCTCACATATGAGCTTTGCGATGACTGTGTGACATGCTGTGCCGCTGGCGGTGGATTGGAGCGCTTCCGTTTTTCCGCCGCCGCTGTCGGTGGATTGGAGCGCTTCCGTTTTTCCGGCGCCGCTGGCGGTGTATTGGAGCGCTTCCGTTTTTCGGCCGCCGCCGCACTAAATGTGGGCATGTTATCCTCGCTAATAGTTGTAACGACAGGCACGGGGGTTGGTCGTCTAATTGCCGCTGTGGCCGTCGCCAATCTACGTGGAACGGAGGTGGACGTCGTCGAGCTGTTGTCCGAGGGGTTGGTAACATCTTGTCGCTGACTCTCGGCCTGCTTCCTCCTTTGATGCTCTCGCGCATTATATGCCTTATATTTGTAGATTTCTTCCAGTTTATCGTAACAAGTCTTACACAGTGGCGTATCGGGCCGCAGTTCTGAATTTATCTTTTGTCCAAAGTGTAAAACTTTTCGATCACTGACCCTGGTGTGTGGCTCTCTGAGCATATGGTTTCCCATGCCGCAGTATCGACGCCCGATCGGGCTCGATCTTTCGGGTGATTCGGGTGCCATCTCCTATTCAAAATACTTTAATTATTATGTTCTAATGATTTTTTTCCCAAGACTTACTATATTGTGTGCAGTTTTTCCCGCCGATCTAGACGCCGTACGCAGCTGTAGAGTGTGACCCGCGTATTTATCGATCAATATACCGAAATATGTTTTGTCGAGACTTTACGTTTTTTGACACTCGTAGGGTTAATGGCATGTAACAAAATACTTAACTATTAACTTCACCTGGCTTTGTTTTCCTGATAAACCATTTTCACATTGTGGCGTGACCGTGACGATAACTATACAAAATACCATCCGGCCAAAAAATAAAGAATTGTTCAAGTTTCATAGTTTTCGTGCGTAAATTAAAATACCCCTTGGTCGACAATGGGTTAACTTTCGTTTGTGTTGATTGTAAACCATATTTCTCGATTTTGATTTTCAGTTTAAAATATTAATAGTAATTAGTAAATAGTAGCTAGGACACATATTTTTATCCGATTGTTGAATCAATTCTCTACAAGATTGGTTGATTTTACGGACTCCCTCTTATTTCTGTATAAAATAAGGTTTAAACCAAAGAGGCAACACAATATAAAAGCATATAACGTAAGTGGCCATGAAATGTTTCGTCATTTGAACACTTGTTGCTTGTCAATCGGTAGTATAGACATCTTTATACCCTAATTCTTTTAATTAGCGAGCGGTTCTAGAGATTATTCTGTGCCGTAAACTAAAAGCTATATATTTATCGCTTTCCCTAATACCAATAGATGGAAACAAATAAAATTGAGTTTTGGGTGAATTTAATTCAACTACATTAATTATAAGCTAAGAGTATGGTTTACAAGTTACAAAATATTATCCGCCCGTGGTCCCTGCCAAATAGATATCCATGGCCGCCTTATTTAGGTGAAGCGTCGGGCGTCGCTTGGGTATCGGCTGGATGTGTGACAACCGCGTCCCATTCACTGCATTCAAACTCAGGTTCGAGTTGGGATCATCGTCATCGCTCACATATGAGCTTTGCGATGACTGTGTGACATGCTGTGCCGCTGGCGGTGGGTTGGAGCGCTTCCGTTTTTCCGCGGCAGCCGCGCTAGTTGTGGGCATGTTATCCTCGCTAAGAGTTGCAATTACGGGCACGGGAGTTGGTCGTCTAATTGCCGCTGTGGCCGTCGCCAATCTACGTGGCACGGAGGTGGACGTCGTCGAGCTGTTGTCCGAGGAGTTGGTAACATCTTGTCGCTGACTTGAGCTCACGTCCGAGACGCTCTCGGCCTGCTTCCTCCTTTGATGCTCTCGCGCATTATATGCCTTATATTTGTAAATTTCTTTATCGTAACAAGTCTTACAAAGTGGCGTATCGGGCCGCAGTTCTGAATTCTGATGCTATTAAACGCTATTTTTTAAGCGAAATAATACAAAGATTGTTCAAAATTAAACGGTTTATTCATACTCTCAAAATATCAGTCTCAAAACAATATAAAATAATTCATAGTTTTTTTTTATCCTTATTTACGAAGTTACTAAGTGTTGTAATCGGTAATTCACCAAGTTTTGTTGTTAAACAATAGTTTATCAACAATTTTCGGTTTCAGCGCGGATCTACGATCCGAAATAATTTGTCCGGCCTTTGAGAACATCCGCTCGGACTCCGTCGAGGTTGCGGGAACACACAGAGCTTTCCTTACCACATTGGCTAGAGCTGACATGTCACTTTCATTGCTCTGAAAAAAAACGTATATAAACAAATAAGTTTGATATACAAAAATGTAACTATCACCACTTACCTTCCAATACTCTAATGGGTTGCAATCATTTCCGGTATTCATTTTTTCAAAATATTGTCGAAGAACCACAATTCCGTCGACTCTATTGTTTCTTTTCTATTTTGGTTTTTATAAACTTAAGCAGAGTTTGCTCGTGTGAGACTTGTACTGGCTGTTCTGCTTCCGGTTCTTCAGGTTGTTCTCCGTTGTAATTAGTCAACATGTTTTCCAACAAAACGGCGCCTTGATCAGCATTGATCTGTAAACGAAATCCTTCTTTTTTGTATCGTGGATCCATAATGGTGGCAAGTCTAGTTGTTGAACGCTCTTCAAATGGGAAAAGCCAATCCAAACATATCAAAAGCGCAACAACAGTAGCTCGATACTATCATGATAGTCGCAAAACTGTCGATAGTAGCAGATAGCAGCAAAACATCGACACTATCGATAGTGCTCTCGATGGTTTGACACCTCTAATATGGACAGAAATCAGATCAAATGTAATATTATGAAAATTTTACACTCAGCGAAGTTCCCTTAAACATAATAAAAATAATACGAAACAGTGGCAGGACAGTAACAAAATCGTTAAAGAAGTTGTGTGGTGAAGTGAACCATGAACATGAAAGCCATGACATGACATCATAACCCTTTAATACATATGTATGTTTCATGCGTCAAGTTGGATATAATTGATAAATATATCCATGGAAGACATATATGTACATTGCTACCATTCATGTGTATAAGTGAATTAACCCAAAGTGTTTAAAGCTGGCAAACAGTTGAGTCTAGCAAATCACAAGCATACATACATATCTACACACATATTACATATGAACATTTTCACATTTCGCCAACACACACACATAGTTTTTTCTGCAATCAATTTAAGATTTGTTAAAACGATATACATACGTATAAACATTTGGAGCCTAGCCCCAGTCTTCACTTGAACTCACACACACAATACGCATTTAAAGCTCAAAACATATGTATAGTACAGACGTATATACATATGTAGATATATGCAAATCATGTGTATGTACTTATCTGCGACGAGAAGTGCAATTGGAACTTATGCTTATGATTCAATAAAAGATACACCGCAAAGAAAAACAGCTTTCCGCACAACCAGCACAGCTGTAAGCGAGATATGATATAGCCCAGCGCATTTATTGACATATATACATATGTATGTGCATATATATTTGCATGTACATTGTCTCTGGTGTGCCGTAACCAGAGCCCCAGAGAAATTTCTCTGTGAAGAGTAGCCTTGTCTTGCCCCATTTGACCCCACAAAGAATTATTGGAATTATTTATTGAATAAATATATTAACATTATTCGCATTTGCTTGTCATTTTAGATTAAACTTGGTGTTTTTCTGTTTGAAAATCATACAAAATTGGACAAACCCTCTGTGACTTTGTACGACAACAAGAGGTCGTACCCCCAAACAGTGCTCGGAAGGGAAGCTCCATCAGCGAAGATGGTACTTCCTCCTGCACCACGCAACCTCAAAGGTGACTCATCGGTTAACCTCATTACCAGCCATCCCAACCATTCAAACATTTATATATCTTATTTTTATATAGGAATACCTCTGTTTCTAGCGAGGAGCAACCCGTGCAAGGAACTAAGTCGAGACACCGTTCGTTTAATAAGTCTGCCTCCTCAAGGCAAATTAAGAACCCGACTATAAAACTAAAAGACACAATAAATAGTAGAAAATCCCATCGAAGGCAAGAGGCACTGGCACCATCACCATCACCGGCACTTTCTGCGCACACAAGCAACCACTTATCTTCGTTGGAAACATTAACACCACCATCATCATCACATACTGAGCAATCATCAGCTTCCTCTTGGCCAAGGCTTCATGCACCAGCTTCGAAGAGCAGAAATAATATTCTAGTGCGATTTCTGCGACACTTTTCAAGTAATAGTAATTCCGCACCCAGTAATACGGAGAATAATCTAAACGAAAAGCGACTAACCACGGCTACCGAGAATATCAATAATAACGGCGAGCTGGAAAAAGCTCTGGTCACAGCTACAGCAGAGGTCGGAGGTAAACACAATGAAGAAATCATGGAAGGGGGAAAAAGTGAGACTTCAGACAAAAAGAGCCACCAGCCAAAAAAAGGCGGTGGCATAGTGTCGAACAGCAGCAGGAGCAACTTGAGCAAAGAAAAGTCATCGAAAGTTGTATCTGAAATAAAAAGTGGAAAAATGGAGGCCCGAAAGTCCTCCTCTGACACGGTGATAGAGCCATCAACGTTGATCAAACAACACTCTGCACCACAGTCGTCGACGCCAACGACTCTAACGGCCAACTTTGTGCAGAATATGCGATTTGTGCGCAAAAATGTTGAACAATCGACCAGAAATGCCAATCCGTTGCAGTTTGTGGAACTGGAAACAGAGTTTCCACGAGACTACGATGATAACATTGAGATGCTGTCACGCGAGGCCGAACATTTGGAGGAACAATTTCGAACGCCAACGCGATCGAATGCCCCAGATGCGACCGCTCATCAAGTGGCTGGTATTATTGAGAATATTATTACCGAGGCGTCACGAAGTCTTGTAATTGAAAAAAAGAAGACTGAAGATGATGTGCCATCAAAATCCACCAACAAGCTGTCAAGTGGTGTGAAGCGTGTTGGCTTTCAGGTTGAGGAGAAAGACGATACCGAGTCGATTCACACAGAGAAGAAGCCAAAGAGCATTGACGATGTCGGAGCCAAGGAATCGTCGGATAACACCGAGGTAAGTTCTGAGGGCTCTGGTTTAACTGGAACCTCGGCGGACACATCGGCATCGCTTCTGCCCTCCACAGCGACAGTCTCGAGCACATCGTCCGGCACATCGATAACAAAGAGTAAAAGTGATGAAGATGATGATCCGGTGGCCCTGTCCCCATGCGGACGCTTTTTCAAATACGACAAAGAGGTCGGTCGTGGCTCCTTTAAAACCGTTTATCGCGGCCTAGACACGTTGACTGGTGTGCCGGTTGCCTGGTGCGAATTGCTGGTAAGTAAGAGAAAATCAAACAGAGAGCGTTAATAGTCCCGCCTCCTAACCGTATGTCATTTAATCTGATCTGTTTTGTTTAGGATAAGCAAGTGAAGAAAAGCGAACGCACTAGATTCCGTGAGGAGGCAGACATGTTGAAGAAGCTTCAGCATCCAAACATTGTACGATTCTATACATATTGGGAATTTCCGATCGGCCGTAAAAAGAATATTGTACTAGTCACAGAGCTGATGTTATCCGGGACATTGAAATCGTAAGAGTGCTTTATTCAGATGAGTATTGGATCGTGTATCGTAATTGGTGTGTTTATTTTGTAGCTATTTGAAACGTTTCAAAAAGATACACCCAAAGGTATTGAAGTCATGGTGTCGCCAGATCCTGAAGGGCCTCAACTTTCTGCATACTCGTCAATTTCCTATAATTCATCGTGATTTGAAATGTGATAATATATTTATAACCGGCACCACGGGTAGCGTTAAGATCGGTGACTTGGGTCTGGCCACACTTAAGAATCGTTCGCATGCCAAATCTGTGATCGGCACCCCCGAGTTTATGGCCCCCGAAATGTACGAAGAGCATTATGATGAATCGGTGGATGTCTATGCGTTCGGAATGTGCATGTTGGAGATGGCAATATCGGAATATCCGTACAGCGAATGCAAGGGACCGGCCCAGATCTACAAAAAGGTCATCTCCGGCATAAAGCCAGCCGCTTTGGCCAAGGTGGAGGATCCCAATGTGAGGGATATCATCGAGCGGTGCATTGAGCTGAAGAAAGAAGATCGCCCCAGCTGTAATGAGCTCCTGGAGTCTGAGTTCTTTGACGAAGACATTGGCATACGTGTGGAGCCCACGGCCTCCGAACAGTTCCTTTCCGATCCCAGCATTTGCATCATTGAGTTCCGATTGCGATTCCTGGACCCAAAAAAACGCTCATCCCGACACAAGGAGAACGAGGCGATTCAGTTTGAATATAATATAACGAGCGACGACTATGAGAAGATTGCCCAGGAAATGATGAAGGAAAACATTATCTCAGAGGACGACTCACGTGCCGTTGCACGCCTTTTGAAGGTGCAGGTTGTGTCGCTACTCAAGGAACGGGCTCAGCGTCAGACGCAAATCAAACTACAGAACGAGAAGTCGCGTTTGGAAAAACTAGCCCTGCAAAAGCAACGCGAGAGCCTCCCCACAAATGTCGATGAGGACGAGGAGGATGAAGAGGACTCTGAGGATGAGGAGGATGGTGTCAAATGGAATCAACGGCTGCAACTGAGGTACGACCTGCTGAACACCGACTCTGAAACCAGCCTGGCCCTGTCCACGAACAGCGTTGATCCACAGAATATTCCAAACCGTTCGAACACATCGATTCAGACAAGTTCTAGCCAGCAGCAGCAACAGCAGCAGTCGTCGATGCAAGTGCCTCTGGCCTCGCCAGCAATATCCATGCAGCAAAAGTCAACAGTGCATTATATACAGAATCCGCAGCTGGCTTCATACCAAAATCCAAACAACTTGATACAGGACATTGCCAACAGCCAGGCGCAGGTGCAGGTCCTCTCACCAACGGGCAGTCAACAACAACAGCAACCCAATGTAGCGCCCCATATAGTAGTGCCACAACAGCAACATCAAATGGTGCAGCAATCAAACATAGCTGAGGCACAGGTCAACCAGCAACAGCAGCAGCAAACAGTAGTGGCACAGCAGCACCAGCAGCTGCTGGCACAGCAATTACCTCAACAAGTTCAATTGCAGCAGGTGCCTTCGCAGCAATCCATGCAATCGGTCATGCCTCCGCAGCAACATGAACAACAGCAGCAGCAACAACCACTGGGTGTCGAGCAGCAAAAAACTAACCAAATTCCTCAGTTGCAGCAACAGCTTCAGCAGTTAATGCAAACGAATGTACAGCCTTCTGAATTGACACAGCAGCAGCAAACACAGCTATATTTTCAGCAGCCGCAGGCTCAGGTTTCTATGCAGCAAATTCCACATACACAACCACAACAGCATGCATATGCAATGCATCCATCCCAGCAGCAAGGACAGGGGCAACAACAACAACCGATGTCCCAGCCGCACCCACAAATTCAGGTTCATCAACAATCCTTTCAACAGCAGCAAGTGCAGCAGGCGGCCTCCTCTCAGAACCATCAACAGCAGCAGATTCTTCAGCAACAAATCGCACAGCTACAGCAACTGCAACAGAATCAGCAAATTCAGCAGAGCCAACAATTGCAACAGACGCAGCAGGCGCAGCAACAACTGCAACAGAATCAGCAACTGCAGCAGAACCAACAACTGCAACAGACGCAGCAACTGCAGCAGAACCAACACCTGCAACAGACGCAGCAACAACAACAACAGACGCAGCAACTGCAACAGAATCAGCAACTGCAACAACAGACGCAGCAACAACTGCAGCAGACCCAGCAACAGCAGTTTGTCCATCAGCAATATCATACTCAAACTCTGCCTCAACAGCAACAGCAGCAACAACATCAACAACTTCTTGCAGGAACTCAAGTTATGGCTTCGCAACAACAGCAGCAGGTCCCCATGCAAATACATGTACAAATGCAGGTACCGCCTACATCTGTGGCCCCAACAATGCAGCAGCAGCAGCAGCCGTACCAACAGAGCCAGCAGATGGCACCCCCAAGTGGGCAAATGGCACTCGGAGATATTCAACAACAGCAGCCACAGCAACAACATGCAACGTTTTCAACCGTTTCTGTGCAGCAACCACAATTTATGCATCAGCCGCAACCTTTACAACTATCATTGCCCTTGGAGCAACAATTACAGCAACTCCTGCTCAGTCAGCAGCAGTCGCAACAGCAGCAGCAGCAGCAAGCCCAGTCAGTGGCTCACCAGCAGCAGCAAATAGCAGAGCAACATGCACAGGCACCGTCGCAGATGCAGATGCAAATTCAGATTCAGCCACAAAACCCACAGGCACAGTCTGTAGGCCAGGAGCTTGCTGGTGCCACTGAAACTGCTGTGGCGCCAAACAGTCTTCAACTAAATCTTGAAACTACGACAAAAGTTGATCCACAATTATCCACGGAAGCTGAGAAACAACAAAGGCAGCAGAGCGCCACTCGCTCCCAAAAACCAAGACGCTCCAATCGGAGTGGCAACGAACGGATACCGAAACTAAGTGTCACCAGTGTCGATGAGGGCAGCGTCATTAACTGCCACATGGAGAACAAGCTAAAGACCATAACATTCAAGTTCGACATTGGCGATGTTAATCCCGTTGAAATTGCCAATAAATTGGTAAGAAGAGCAGCCAGTCGGCCTTCCCCAAACAATCCACTTAGCGAATTTCTTGTCTTTCAGATCGCCCAAGATTTGCTTTCGAATTGTCAAAGCACAGTATTTGTGGAAATGATTAATGAAATTGTTGACCAGGTCAAACAGAATCCCAATCAAATTCCAATACCAACTAATTATCGCCGCAATATTGAAAAGGTACTTGGCTTTCCAAACAAAAAACAACTTTATTTCCAGAGTACAATTGCCTATCGCGTTCCTGGAAGGACCCACTATTACAGAGCTCTCCTGTGCTCCAATACAATTTGAATGTTATTGAAGAGTTCTTTTCTTCTCATAGTGAAGGCTTCCATAATCTGAATTCCAAGTGTCGCCCTAGCGCCAGCGATGGGCATTCGATGGAAAGCCAAAAATTAGTTTCCAACCAGCAATTCTGCAGATTATATGAAAGAGAATCCTCACCAAACCAACATTACCTTATAAAAGTTGTTACATCCAAAATCTTGTACTTCAAACGCAAGCAAACATGTTTGTCCAAAGATCTTATATGAGAAAAACCCCCACCAATACGAGAAATTTACTTAAATACTGTTCGATTGGCAATAATAATGTTTGAAGATCAGATCTGTTAATCGCCTAAATCCCACGATAGTGGGACCGACCTCCATTCAAACCATTTGAGCATTCAAATATTTTACTCGAATCATAGCTTTTAGAATTAGCCTAAGACGTTACTCCATTAATGCAGTCCTTTCTAATTAGTGCATTAACTTTTAGTTCAAATATTTGACCAAAGCTTCGATGAGCTTTAAGTTTTAACTCTTTTTGAATCAATTTAATGTTTCATATTTGTCCAGATAAATCCATGTTTTTTGATTGTCTATCTCTACTATAACAAAACAGGTCCGTCACGCGTCTCTAACTCGACAGCGTTCCACGTTTAGGTCACACCAAAGACATAGATCTGTAAGTGTTAAGTGCACTGGGCTTATGTAAACATAAAATATATATATTTTATAGCTAAAATGATTTCACTTATCAGGACATTTACTTTTATTTTTCAAGGCTTTTACTATAAACAAAATGAACAATTTGTGTTTACTATAATTTTATGAATGTACCGAAATGACTATTGACTGGACGGACGTATATCGCAATCCTATCACAACAAGATGATGGCATAACCATTGACTATTCGAATTGACTTGTCAAAACCACAATGCCAGTGGTGCGAACATCCTTGTTCCCATTTCTCCGAGAAAACCGACAACTAGCCAGACGCACATACGTAAAGTGCAAAAAAGAATGCCCCAAATTGAGAAACAAACAAAATACATGTCGTGTGCATGACAAGGCTCGACTCAAGTCTCCCCTATAATTTTCTGTTATTGTTGGCTGAACTATTCTCAAAATCCGAAAGCCTGTCCATATAATCGAATACTTACTGAACGGACATACGGTACAAAAGTTTACAATACAATTTTTGATCTTGTGTTCCTTTTAAGATTTCAGGGGTGGTCTAATTTCACTTATTTCGGTTACCGTATCACAATAGAAGAGTTTTTTTAGTTTTTCTAAATATTCGCACAAGTGTACTTTTGAGCTCGATTCACTTTGATTCACATACGTATCCATCTATCTATCTATATTTGAAACGACCCATCTTTTAGCGGGATGAAACCGCCAGCGACATTACCAAGATGTTTGAACCTACCATACATGGCATTGAGAGCTTACCATCTGGCAGCGGATCTGGCGGAGGAGGAGCCACTGACGAAGGCAAGACGAACACAACGAATCTGACTAGTGAGGCTAGATCGCATACTTCGATGCTGGCAAATGCCGATCAACAGACGAACATTGGGACGCCGCCAAATACAGCTTCAACGATGTCATCGTCTTCAACGGCGTCGCGGGATGCGCCCAATGGTAGCAACGACGTGACAATTGGCTCCGGCTCGGTGTCTCGGAAAACAAGCACAGCTTCTGAATACACATCGCTATCAATTGACTATATGCCTGATAACAATATAACGCCAACGGGTAACGATGCGCTGGGCGACGTCGCACTGGCCAAAGATAACTCACATAGTGTACAGCTTATTGCACGAGGTCATGCCATAACTCGTATGCAAAAGCTATTGGAGTCGGCTGGTGGGACTGCAACGCCACGAAGCCTGAACCTGCCATTGAATCGGCACTTGAACATCCAAGAGGACCTGAAGCACACCAGGAGCCTGGGAGACTTAAGCGGTGTCAAGATCACGTTCGATATGCCCAATAGAGTGATTACAGAGCCAGCTGAGGACAACAGCCACCAAGAGACGGCAGTGGAAATGGAGAAGCCCAAGGACAAATCTGCTGGGCAGCAAGCAACAGCGCAAGGGACTGGCGCAGGGGCAGCCAACACATTGGAGCAATTAAAGATCGAACTGGAGAATATTACGCATGCACACGCGTTTGCCTCCGCTGTGGTGGCTTCCATCAGTACCCGTACCCCACATCAGGCATCGCCAGCAATTTCATCTTTAGCGGCCTCCACTGGCCAGCAGCAGACACAAGAGGTAGTAAATGAATAGCCCTAAACTTTGTATATATTTTGTAATACTTTTTCCTTGCTTAGATAAACAAATCTAATAATTCTGTGGGCGCTAGTGGATCTGCAGCCTCAATTGGCCCAAATGCATCTGGCTCTTCTGTCTACAATTCTCGACGCGCCTCTATGGACAACAGCATGGGCTCCGATATCCAGTTGCATGGTACTCCCTCCTCCATTGTTGAAGGACCCGCCACTAGCTCAGATCCCACGCCAACTGAAGCGTCTACTACTGGTATTATCATCGCCGGCACGACAGTTGAGAAGCTACTCTCGAAGCAGGACAGTTTGGACAAGGCGCCGAACACGTCCATTTGTGTTAGCAGCAGCAATGATATGCCGCAAAGAAATCCCAGCAACGGATCGCTGAATCAAAACTCTATAGCAGATCTAGAAAAGAAATTGGCAGCGTTGCGGAATACTGACAATGCAGAAGAGGTAGGAAATGTGTGCAACAAATAATTATTGTCATACTTTGTGACACTTTCAATTGATATTTACAGCCACAACAGCCACAACAGCCGCAAGCCACCGCCACATTGACAGTGGGACCGAAGCCATCTGCTGATGAGACAGCGACAGCGACAACACACCCAAGTGCCCGTAAAGTGTCGCGATTTAGTGTCAGTCGAGTGCAAGAGCAGAAAAATCAAGCAGCCGCTGAGGAAAGTTTGCAGAATCAACTAAAGATCGATTTGTCGTCGGCTTTGGGCCCCGGTGGCCAGGGCCAGACGCAGAATAATACCACCAATAGCTCTGTGCAAAACGGCAGTATGGTGAACACTCCCACAGAACTTATAAACTCTCCCATACAAACTGTTCCGCTGTCCATTAACGGAATTCAGTTGATTTACCAACAGCCGCAGCAGCAGATGCATCCCTCTGCGAAAAGTATGGTTAACAGCGGCGTAAACGTAGTGCCACAAGTGATGACACAAAACGGCACACAAGTAACGCTCTCTGGTATTCAGCAGCAGCCTCAGCAGCAGCAGCTTGTGCATCCTAATATACCACAACAGACACCGTCCGGTGTCCATCCTCAGATGATGAACACTCTCCAGCAGCAGTCGGTTGCGCATCAGCAACCAATTATGACACAACAGCAACCAATGATACTGCAACAGCAGGGCTCCCAGCAGTTTAACTTACCTGCATCGCAACAAAATCATGCACCGCAACAGTTCATCCAGATGCAGCAGAATCAGCTTCATGCCCTACAGCCTCAGGTTGTGGGAATGTCTCAGGGAATGCAGCAACAGCTTACGGCCATGCAGTCAATGCAGTCGGCGCAGCACCAGATGGTAGCACAGCAGCAGCAACAACAGCAGCAGCTGCAAATGCAATCGCATATGCAGCAGCAGCCGCAACAGAATGTTGCAGGCATGTATAATCAGCAGACTGCTAATTGTGGAGCGACACAACAAGGCTTCCATGCTGGTGTTCCCAATCATCTTCTACAACAGGCGACTTTGATGGGATCCCAGCAACCCGCGCAGCCGTTGCAACACGTTATGCAGCCGCTGTTCAATGTATCTCCCGGTGAAGGTAAGCGTTAGCCCCCAACCGCTTTCATTTTATTTATTTGTCCTGTATTTCAGTTGCTGAAGAGCCTGTATCTCTAGCTGCAACGCATCCCCATTTATTGCCCAGCGATATACAATCTGTAAGAGCTGCAGCGGCGTTTCACTGAGACTTTGCTAATGTACATTTATTGCAGGATATAAAGCACAATTTGGACTCGTTGGTCAACCAATTGTGTAACACACGCTTGGGCACCAATCAACATCAGCGACTGTTGCTGTTACGCCAGAGACAGCTGATCGAAGAGGACGAACTGCGTTTGAAACACTATGTGGAATACGAAAAGTTTCAAAAATCTCTGCGCCAATGTAAGAATTATTTATAACGTGTGTGTCAACATTTTAACCGACAATGGATCTACTCTACCTCTATATTGGTTACAGCTTTAAGCACAAACGTTCCGGCGACAACAACATACTTTTCAGCACCTCCTGCTGCACAGCTTCCAACTAATCTAAAAGCACCAGCTCCGCCCTCAGCAAATCCGACATCCACAAGTTCTGCAAACACATAGCTGCGCTAAAATGTTTGTTTTGCTTCATTCATTTGACAAGCCATCACCGACTAACAGCCATTTCTATGTTCTCGGCAATATAATTGAAACGAGCGAGTGTGTGTGTGTTGTGTGTGTGATGAGATGAGGTAGATCTGGCATCTGGCCCTGGCCTGACCTGGCGGTAGAAATTAAGTAAAAAGTTATATCTTATGGGATTGTCTGTAAATATTAGTCAAACGCTTTTAGTTGATATGCCATTGTTTCATATTTTTCTTTCTTTCTGTACCACTTTTAATTTGATTTAACTTCTTTTGTTCTTGGTTTCCTTTTATTGTTTAAAGAAATTAAGAAAATTGTACATTTTATTAGTAATGCAAGTGTAAATAAACATTTCGATAATGTAATACATAGCAATGCATATAGAAATATTATACATTTTAGTCATCATTTATTCAAAGTGATGTATACATATACTATACTGCATAGTTACTAAATAAATAACTTATTACAGAATTGTTTTATTTAATCACCAGTAGAAGGCATAGATCAAGTACTATATATTTTTGCTGCTAGAGGAAAGTAGATACCAAGGCAGTGTCGAAATAGGGCGAGCAGAAATTCTGGATATCTTGCTTTAAATGCGCTCCACCAACAAGATAGAATCAATATATTTTTTAGGATGGGGCCCTTTAATAGAGTTAAAAAATGTTTAGCTATAACATGAAATCTCGTTATCCCATCGTGACATATTGAACAGTCCCATATTGATGTCACTGATAGGGAATATAATATATTATATGTGTGGGGTGGCAAATGGTTTTTCTTCTCTGCTGTGGTAAAGGTATCCAAATTTTCAATTTCTGTTAAATTGCAAGTCGTATTAAAAATCATGATAAACCTTGGTATTTTCGCATACTTTGATAATACCTTTTATTGTATGATTTGAACGAAATTAATAATAAAGAATGCAAGAACATAAAATGTAATAACAAAACATGTGTGAAATAATTATTTTACACAACGACATCCATGGTGTCTTTGATCTCATTGCCCCACTCGCGGGCCATGATCATGATTTCATTCATGGTCAATTTAGGCCCAATCAGAGGGTTCAGCTGCGTCATGTAACAGCACAGCCAACTGCAATGACAATAAAGCAAAAACATTAAATTTTGACAAATGCACATACTAGGGCTAAACAAATACTTACAACAGCCAACATGTTGTTGCCGTCAGCATAAGGCAGCATTGAGTCACTCTGAAAACATATATGCTGCTTACTCTGTTTAATTTAGTTTCTGTCAAGTTCTTACCCTTTGTTTGGGCCACGAGCAAAGAAGGGACAGATGATGCCAATGAATCCCCAAATGCAGGTGATAACTAGGGGAGGCACATAGTCGGGAACAACCATTTTAAAGTCTAGCTAGGAAATTAAGTCGAATGGAATGGAAATTATAAAGCAAGGCACGATCGCAAAAGTTTTTCTCGAGGCAATGAATATCACATGACAGACATGGGACCAAAAACAGCTGGTTTACATTGTGACTTATCGATAAAATATACCGAAATACACCTTGTCATTATCAAAATATACCGTAAATATACTGAGGGACACGATAACTTGCGTTGATATTCCTAGATTTTGATATTCGGTTTAATATTACTAGCAAGCTAAGACTCTCAGTGCTGAAAATATATTTTTCTATGATTAAGTAATCAATTCCCTTAAAGATTTGACAATTATTGGTAATCATTTTTATTACAATTATTCATAAATAAGGTTTAATCAATCTGGTGGAAGATTCAATGTAATACATGGTACTCAGATCGAAACAAACACCTCGCGAACAGAATCAGGGTTGATATTCGTATGAAACCGATAAGAAATTTTTTCGGTCAAAAACTGTTTTCTAGGCTCTATCATGGTATGGTATTTAAATGGCATTTCTCGAAACTGAAATGGTATTTAATGGTATTTCTTTTTTGGCCGGATGGTATTTTTTATAGCTATCGTCACGGTCACGCTGACGGCCCCAATTTTAGCCTGGTTTTTTGATTTTGCAAAAAGAAAAACAATTAAAAAAATATGTTCCAAAATAGCGCTGCTCGTCTTTTGGTTCCAGCCATCCGCAATGCCATGCAGAGCCGGTGCCAATCCGTGGTTTCTGGCCCACCCACACAGAACATCTCAAAGGCTGTAAGTTCATCTGGTTGCATAACTAGAAATGTCGATATGATACTTTTTTGCTTGCAGGAGAAAGTGATTCTTGGCGGGGGCATGTGCGCAGCGGCCCTGTTTATTCCTGGCTGGGTTCTATATCACATCCGTGATTATAAGGGCGAGAAGTAATTCGATGACCTAATATTCCCCAAAATTTGAAGTTGTAATATCAATATAGTAATGGTGCGCCTGTGCAACATGAATAAAGGAAAATAGATTGAAGTTAAACTTGAATTTTAATATTCTGTAGGAATAATCTTGTACACTGCCTAATAGTCGTCAAGTTGGCTGTACGCTCCATTTGGTTAAGACATTAATTTTAGATTCGCAGAAGCTCATGTATTTATGTAACTATTGCCACAGGATGTGGGGCCTTACACCAATTGGACCTCGTCTCGTAGACGCCCGGCGCCATAAGACCTAAGGCCGGCCCTGTTTACCATGCCAGTACTTGTAGTTTAGAAATCAGGAAAAGGGGCTTGGATTCTAGTCTTCGGACAGCCTGCAATACGATACGATGGGATCAAACTTTATCCAAGCTTTAAGAGAAAATAAACAATGAACAATCCGTCCATTCTTCAGTACTTTTTGTGTATTTAAGTATGTAGATATATTTTCACTTGAAGCATAATTTAACAAGCTTTCGAATGAGTTTTATGGGCAAAGAAACTTATAAAATTTAATTGGGTTTAAGAAAGACGTGTGTTTATTTCTTTTGGTTGTCCTCCTCATTCTTTTTATCCTTGTCTTTGTTCAGTGAGCCAACAGCATCGCGCACTGCCTCGGATTGGGGATCTACCCCAGGAAGATTCTCTAGTACACTCTGCAAGAAGGCCGGGTCGCCAATAACCTCCGAATAGTCCTCATCCACATCCATGGGAGCATTGGCTTCATCAGTTTTGGGGCGCTTCGCTTGCTGGGTGACGTTATCATCAGGAGCATCTTGCATGGACATTTGCATAGCAAAGGCGATCTGTTCCTCTTCGGTCATGTTGCCGAAATCTGGCAAATTATATTCGGGGGTCTCAGTAGACAGGGCCAAGGCCCGCTGCAACATAGCTTCCTCCGAATTGGCCTCGGCGTTTCCTGCGCCGCTTTCAACTTTGGGCTGTCCCGTGGCAGCAGCAGCATCGGCACCAGCTGGTGCAGTGCTATCAGCATTAGCCCGGCGTTGGTCACTCTCCTGTCGTTGACGTTGCTCCTCCATTGACACACGCAAGGCAAGAGCCAGTTCTGGGTCTTCGTTGGGATCAACTCCGAATTCGAACGCATTTCCTCCCAAGCCAGCGCCACCCAAGCCATCTTCGCCCTGAATAATCGGCGACGACAACAGGGCGTCAGACAGAGCAGATCCGCGAGGAACACTAACCAAGTGCGATCCAGTACCGTCTTTGCCGTTCAATGCATTAATGAAAGCAGTCAGCGTCTCGTTGTTGTTGCCATGATCGCCGAAGCTAACAATGTCCACATTCACCTTCTCTTTCTTAAGGCGCTTAGCTTGTTTCACAAGGTCTCCTTCGTCGTGGCAAATGGGCGAGCCAACAAAGACAACAATACGCATCTTATGGTTTTTGCCTTGACGATGCTTCAACACCAAATGGGCAATGCGGATCCCGGTCAGAAGGTTTATCTCGCCCTTTGGTTGGACGAGATGCATTTTAGAAAAAATCCGCCCCACATCACTGGTCAGCGTGGCCAGCACTTCCACGGTACTAATAAGTTGATAAAGGAAACAATAACGAATACTATTCAAACCATTGGCCACACAATACTCACTTCGATAGCGTCATTAGTCCCACATTATTCTCGGGATTCGATCTAAGTTTTGTCAGACAAACGAGATTGATTCCATCTTTTTGGACGTTCAGGCGTGTAGGGAAATAATCACCATTGCGTTGGTAATCGCTGTTATCAAAACTGAAAATACAAACAGGGGGTTGGTTGCGTTAATCCGTCAGCTTTCTGCATATGCTTTATTATTAATTAATCCTTATTTTACCATATCATAGTACTTTCAAGAACCATTTTCGTATTTTTGCTTGTCACTTTGCCACTGAACTGTAATTTTTTTATGCTTACAAACAGTAGGGTTACTAAGCTGACAATTATTTGTATTGAGGGGACTCGATGTGCGGCAAATAGCGTTGATTTGGAACAGTGAAATGAAATATTACAAGATAATGCATCGGTATAAATATGTATAGATATACATATTATATTCAATAAAATGAAGTGATCACTTAGTTCGTTCAATTGGTTAATCAATAATTAATTCCTTTATTTATTTTTTTCATAAACGCTTTGACAGTTGACAAGATATTATGTTGAACAACTCGCTGACGACTCGTTTACATTAAAACTTAAAAAATAATGATATGAAAAATAGAACAATAACATAGAGAATTTCGGCGATAAATATAACGCTAAATCCAATCATTAGGCTCATGATACCACCAGTTAACGCTAGAATAGAGTTGGATAATTTAAAAATTAGATGTTATCTTTTTGAGAACTCACACATATATTCAGTTGGTCCGGTGTACGAGGTCCTCACATTGCTTCTAAAATAATTTTCTGAGAAGTAGAAGTTTACCACTGCCAGGTTCTTTCGAATATAATCATTTGATAAATTCTTTAAATAATCACTCTGGGCTTTCAGTTCTTTTTGGCTAAAAGGTGTTGTGAAAGAATCAGGAAAGAAAGTCAAATCATGACAACTGGTTAGGCACAAGTCTTTGCATTTATAGCTTTCCTTGTCATAGATCTGTATCTCCGCATTGGTACAGCAATCAAACTGAGCCGTGTCACATACCGTAGCATTCGAAAACACCAACGGAAGATAGTATGGAATGCAATCGCACAGTCGCAGGAAGAATAATGCATCGCATTCAGATTCGCAGTTGCGTCGCGTGTAATAACGATAAAAGTAAAGTTCTACCTCATCACTAAAAATACATTGTCGTTTCGTTCGATGGATGTTACGAATATTGGGCAGGGCTTCAAAGCTACGAGCGATTATACGAAATGTTGTCTGATGCCCGATCATTACTGGTAGTCCGGATTCCTTCATACGGGGTTGATCGATTGGGTTGTACAAAAGCACCTTAAAACAATTGTATTTTTAATATGCGAATGCAGTTTTGTCTTCAAATAACCAACCTTGAAACCCTGGCCATTTGTGGAGGAACAAATATAATCGTCTACATGACCATTGAGTATTATTTGTAGGCCCATGGCAATGCCAATGCCAACTCCTGGCCGCGGATAATAGCTGGACGGTAGTTTCTGTGGATAGCCAGATATCGGATTCCAATCCACTGCAATGTCTGCAAACCTATTCGTCGAGGTGTAGTCCCGTATATAAGTTGACCTTTAAATTAAATACATTTTATTCGTGAACTTTTCTGCCTTTCATAAACGTGCCTGAATTTGTATAAATAATATGGATGCAGCAAATTGAACACACAACACAAGCCCTCATCTACAAAGATCTCTCTAAAGATATCAGTACATGGTAGCTTTTTTTTATGAAACATGCATGAGACTATCAAATCCTCGCATCTCTCAGAAACATCTAGTATAAAGTTTTGGAACGTTTCGTTTTTATAGCGCTGGTTAGATGTTGTATAATTTCCATAATAGTTCTCCTTAAAACAAGTTTTCTGTAGCATGGAATATCCCAGAGATCCACTGAAATGATTTTTATTATAACTCGGACTGTACGTACATAGATATGATAATTGATTGGGCTTACTTACGGTTTTAAGTCTTTTACTTTCGATTTCTTTGCCTGATTCATATTACAAACCGTTATAGCAGGAAAGGGAATCTTACTAATTGGAGTCATCGTTGAACTAATTCCAATAATTACAGGTGTGTCTTCCCATTTGACAAAAACACGAACGGCTAAATTTACGGCCACGTACATAAGCGAAGCGAAAATGGAAATAAAGTATAGCTTTATCCACCATGGAAAATGTCTATCACCGATAATGTATTTTAACAACTCCAATGATGTATTTCTTAAAAATATGTGCTTTCGTTTTTGACCATTCCTCCGAAGTTTTTCTTGCACTCTATTCAGGAAATTCATGGTGTTCATCCGTTGGTTAATAGATTGGAGATATTTTTAAGACTGTAACCCTCCTACAAGAGACTCAAGTATTTATATACACCCACTAGGATTATAAAGGTTTTCAATCTATTATCATTAAGGTTTTGTAATGAATCAAAGTAATTAAGTCCAACCGACTTCAATAGAGCCATATCAATTAGCATAATTGTCTGAAATAAATAATTCATTTTATTCTCTAACTCAAATGATAAATCAAAATATACCCCAACATTATGTTGAATGGGCTACGGGGGAGTAGAGCCATACTATAAAACGAATATCACTCCGTCTTCCAATATAAACACTGTATATTTGCGTGATTATGAGCAAAGTATTTTTCGGTGATCGAATTTTTTTATACCCGTACTCAAAAAAGAGTTAAGGGGTATATTAGATTTGTGGTAAAAGTGGATGTGTGTAACGCAGAGAAGGAAACGTTTCCGACCCCATAAAGTAAATATATTCTTGATCAGCATCAATAGCCGAGTCGATATAGCCATGTCTGTCTGTCTGTCCGTCCGTCCGTCTTGATGAGCGCCTAGATCTCAAAAACTATAAAAGCTAGAGCAACCAAATTTTGTTTCCAGACTCATGTAATATCACACTGCTACAAGTGTATTTCAAAATTTCGCCCCGCCCCCTTCCGCCCCCATAAAAGACGAAAATCTGTGGCAGGCACAATTTTAAAGTATCGTAGAAAATGACCATATCTACCAGATTGCCGAATCTGAATCAGATCGGATCATAATTATAGCCAGAATGAAGAAATTAATTTTCTGTTGGTTCCCTCTCCTTCTCCAGCGCTGCTGACGCTACTGATTCTCTTTCTCGCTCGCACACTCTGCCGCGTTCAGTGCGCGAGCAACCCCTAGCGGAGGAGATGTAGAATATAAATGGTACATGTACAATCTACATGTTAGATGTGGAATATACATTGTAGATGTAGATGTTGATAACAGATGTAGCAAAAAAATGTAAACATTTTTTTTTTTTTTTTAATTCTAAAAAATCATTAGCTCAAAAATGTATATACAGACTGAGTACGAGTAGAGTCGCGTCCCCAGAAGCGACTCACACGTTCCTTCTCGTTTTTTCTTTGTTCTTTGTAATATTTATTTGTTTCATTACTGTTTACAAATTTTTAATTATTTTTAATCTAATATAGGTACAACTTCAGCCAGATTGGGATTCTTTATTTTGTTTTGAACAATTTTAAAACGGGAAATGGCACAATTAGTATTTGATTGAAGGCTTCTTTTCTTTCATAAATACCTTTAAGATATTATATTAATTATTTGTGAAAACAAACCTGCAATTTGTTGTTTTTGTTTTGTTTGTTTCTGTAATACCTTACAAATGTAAGCTAGCGATTTCAAAAGGTCTTTTGATTTACGAGTTTACACCGTCTATTAATGGTAATCTTTAAACTATTTCGAAAGTATAGAGAAAATATCACTGCTGGATACATGCACAGATGTATAAAAATATGATTTAATATCATCGGAAAATAACTGAAAAATGTATTAACGTAAATAAGCGGTTATTAAATATCACTAATTCTATTGTTTATATTCATTATGCAATGAGAGATAGGCCCCGTCAGCAACATACAAATTGATGAGAAAACTATTTGTTCAACTTAACAAGAACATGTTGTACAGGTATGTGTTATTTTCAGGATCTCAATTTCGGGCAATATATAAACAAAAATTGTTTTGAAACAAAGGGGCTCTGAAGAAAGGATTTAAATCATACATATGTATGTAGGTTTGGTTTGGTTTTTTGTGAGACATCAAGCATTTTTCAAGCTGATTTGTACATTTTGTTTTGAGGGGCTGGGGTTGACAATCAAATGCCTGCTTTTAAAATATATATATTACCAGTTATTCATATAACATTCATAATTTGTAACTGTCACGGGTGAGTCATGTTCCCAGTCATATAATCCTATAATATGTATTGATTTTTTTTTGGAAATAAATTATTATCTTTTTTTTTCAAGTTTTAAATGTTGAACATGTTTGGTTTATATGGTAATTTCCTTATTTCATTTCATTTCTGTGTACAGTAACATATTTATAATTAAAAACAAAACATTTTAAAGAGGTACATTTCGAAAGTATTGGCTTAAAATCATATTACAGTAAATGTTAGGGCATATTCTTTCTTTATGTCAGGGTATTACGTGGAGCTTGTGGAAACGTTTACAAATATATACTGAATTACAGGTATGCAACAGTAATACTTTAACACAAAATTATAATCATAACAGTAACGAAAATTTATTGATTATTGATTGACGAAAAGGTATGGTATGTATCGGCATAACATCAGAAATTTAATGTTTTCAATTACCGGATACCGCATACAATATGCATATTGTTATGTTTGTTATGTGCGTTTTACTTAGGTTATCGTTTTTAAACTTCAAAAAAATGAGTGGAAACCCGATTAAAGAATGTTTGTATTTTGTTTTCTTTACAATTCAGTCTGAAAGGCATAGTTTGTTTACACATTTGATATCACCTATTTTGAAAAATCTATTTATTTACTTATTTTATTATCTCTAAAATTGTGTATACATAGGTAATGATATATCATTGATCTTTAAGGTTTAATGGTAACCACTTGTTGGATGGTATTAAATATAATTTAATTTAATACAAGTACGGAAAAGTTGCTGAAAATTTCGTTGCGTTAAGTGGAGAATAAATATTTTGATATAAACCTAAATTTTGGTACCCAAATACATGTGAGTGTGTGTGTGTTGGTTTAAATTTTGCCTTCGATATTTGGTTCTGTATCATTTATATGTATATATCGCTAGAATATTGATTAGGTTATATCTGGGACTGTATATCCAACATTTTGTTTCGTTGCGGGTCTACAGTTGCTGCATGTTTTTGTTTTGTTTTTATTTTTTTTTTTTCTTTTTTAGATGCTTACTCATCATCGGAGACATCTGAAGAATCACTTATATCACTTGAAAATATCTCCAGCCAATGGTAATCACGTCTATCAACATAGTCCCAAAGATAAATCTATTAAATATATATATATTGATCAGTATTGTCACATGTGTATATACAAAAAAATACAAGGATACTCACATCGAGTAAATCGATTATTTCATTTTGGCCCTGTAACTTTCGAGTACGCTTTGGTAAGCCCACATCCACGATATCTCCATTGGGCAGGGCATGTTTGTAAAAGCACTTGTTTCCAAATGGACACTTTCCCTCGCCTTTCTTGAAGTATTTACAATCCTTGGCTCCCAAGGCAGCGCGATAATCATTGAGAAGTTTATCCTTTTCCTCCTTTGTCTCCACCCAAAATGCACTGGGGCAGACAAAGTCTGAACATACGCGACATTCGGGGCAAGCACTAAAATGAACCGTACATTTATTTTAATACAGGCAATAATTCTATAGTCGAATTTTCTATTCAATAGATACTATTTATTTTCGATAAATTAATATGTTACTCACCGCGTTATTTTATGCTCAAACTGTTTGGCCTGGCGCCATTTACGAATGCATTCCAAACAAAAGATATGGTTGCAGTTGGGCAGAATGCCAAATCTTTTCTCCCGACCAGCCTTCTCCATGATGGTGTCAAAGCATATGCCACAGGTCTTATCCTTGGAGCGAGCGATCGCAAAGGAAAGTTCCATGGCCTGTTCGTGCTGTTGCAAGCACTCCCGGTTGTGCTTTTTGCGTTGAGCTTGATCCGTGGGATGCAGGCAATACTGGTCACACATTTCGCATAGCTCCATGTGTATACGATAGGGGCAATACTCGCCATAAGGACACGGACTTTCATATGGACAAACCTCGTCCAATGATGCGGGTTCGCAACAGCTCACGTCGGCATCGGGTAAGGACGGGCCACCTACCACTTCGGCCCAGGAGATTGCGTTTTGAAGAGCCACACTTCCAGAAGCTGCCTCCTCATCATCCACGTTCTGGTGCAGCATGCGCTTCTGGCTAGGCACAAATACCGGGGCGTTTGCCCAATTACGTTGGCTGGTGCTGGTGCTTGGCTTAATGCTCTCAGCATTGTCTGTTGTTATGAGCGTTTGCTCCGCACACTCAGGACGGCCGCGACTTAGATCATGAGAGAAACGGCAGAGTTCTCCAAAACGACATATGCCGCGCAGATAAAAGCGGCATATCGTTTGACTTCGCCCAAGTGCCATGTTGGGAATGGCTGGATCGCTGTTGGCGACGGCACTCATTTTGCTATGTACGTATTACAATTGCAAAAGTGATATTACAAATCTGACAATTAATTCTCAACGATGACCTAAAAATAAAAGCATTATATAAACTGAGAACTTCGCTCGTCTCCGTAAAGTTAAATCATTCGCATAATGACACAATAAATGCATACGAATGTGCATGAAAGCACAAACCAAATTAATCATGTGCTTGCATCTTTCATACGTACATACATATGTTCATATGCGTGCCAGTACATGCATAAATATAGACATTGGACGGTACTGATGAAATGATGCGCACGATTGGGAAGCTCGCTAGTTTGACAGATATTGTCGTAAAAGTCAATAAATGTTTATTTCACATGGCTATGCACATAAAAATATACTTTTCTGAACGTAAATGCCTGTGCATCATTATGTTTCGATGTAACAATGTACATGTCTACTATGTGTGGAGGTAGGCAACGCAACACTCGTACAGGCGTATCTAATGTCGAGTTTTCCAATACAATATTTTCCAATATATACAATAGCACAGCTCTAAGTTGACCGTGACGCTTAAGTCTACATTTCCACAAAGCTACAATTTATTTAACGCCAGGAACACTTACTATTGTTACTTTTGTCGTTTTATGCGCACCTTGAAAAATAATCACAATTTTTTCATTGCTGTTTTAGTGTGGCCAAAATATGCTAACTTAAATATTAGGGGTGTTTCCAAATGTGACACAGCGGATACTTTTCTAGTATCTATCGGCTAAGTATATTTAATTTTATCATGGTATATACTTGCTCACTTTTATTCGTTCGTGAGCAAATCGTGGTGTTTTTATTAATTTGCTCTCTTTTTCGAGGTGAAGAGAGCGCTTTCGTGGTGACTTTCCCCTCTTTTTCATGGTGTGAGCCGCATGTTCCTAACGGGAAACGCGCATGGAACGTTGATTCATTGTTGCGACGTTCCATACGGTTCCCGTAAGATACATTTGATTTGTATGGGAAAATTTTCAGCAACATGGGGAAAGTAATTAACAACATTGTTCTGCAACTTTGGCACGAGATGGGAAACAATCTGCATACCTTGGGAAAATGGATATTATGGACTCGAGATATTGTTTGTAATTTCAGGCTCTAATTAATGCAGAAATTGGTATTTAATTGTATTTTTATTTTGGCCGGATTCTTGTTTAAAAGTTAAGTATTTTTTACATATTTTACATGCTATTAACCCTACGAGTGTCAAAAAACGTAAAGTCTCGACAAAACATATTTCGGTATATTGATCGATAAATACGCGGGTCACACTCTACAGCTGCGTACGGCGTCTAGATCGGCGGGAAAAGCTGCACACAATATAGTAAGTCTTGGGAAAAAAAATCATTAGAACATAATAATTAAAGTATTTTGAATAGGAGATGGCACCCGAATCACCCGAAAGATCGAGCCCGATCGGGCGTCGATACTGCGGCATGGGAAACCATATGCTCAGAGAGCCACACACCAGGGTCAGTGATCGAAAAGTTTTACACTTTGGACAAAAGATAAATTCAGAACTGCGGCCCGATACGCCACTGTGTAAGACTTGTTACGATAAACTGGAAGAAATCTACAAATATAAGGCATATAATGCGCGAGAGCATCAAAGGAGGAAGCAGGCCGAGAGTCAGCGACAAGATGTTACCAACCCCTCGGACAACAGCTCGACGACGTCCACCTCCGTTCCACGTAGATTGGCGACGGCCACAGCGGCAATTAGACGACCAACTCCCGTGCCCGTAATTGCAACTCTTAGCGAGGATAACATGCCCACAACTAGCGCGGCTGCCGCGGAAAAACGGAAGCGCTCCAACCCACCGCCAGCGGCACAGCATGTCACACAGTCATCGCAAAGCTCATATGTGAGCGATGACGATGATCCCAACTCGAACCTGAGTTAAAATGCAGTGAATGGGACGCGGTTGCCACACATCCAGCCGATACCCAGGCGACGCCCGACGGTCCACCTCAATAAGGAGGCCATGGATATCTATTTGGCAGGGACCACGGGCGGATAATATTTTGTAACTTGTAAACCATACTCTTAGCTTATAATTAATGTAGTTGAATTAAATTCACCCAAAACTCTATTTTATTTGTTTCCATCTATTGGTATTAGGGAAAGCGATAAATACATAGCTTTTAGTTTACGGCACAGAATAATCGCTAGAACCGCTCGCTAATTAAAAGAATTAGGGTATAAAGATGTCTATACTACCGATTGACAAGCAACAAGTGGTCAAATGACGAAACATTTCATGGCCACTTACGTTATATGCTTTTATATTGTGTTGCCTCTTTTGTTTAAACCTTATTTTATACAGAAATAAGAGGGAGTCCGTAAAATCAACCAATCTTGTAGAGAATTGATTCAACAATCGGATAAAAATATGTGTCCTAGCTACTATTTACTAATTACTATTAATATTTTAAACTGAAAATCAAAATCGAGAAATATGGTTTACAATCAACACAAACGAAAGTTAACCCATTGTCGACCAAGGGGTATTTTAATTTACGCACGAAAACTATGAAACTTGAACAATTCTTTATTTTTTGGCCGGATGGTATTTTGTATAGTTATCGTCACGGTCACGCCACAATCTGAAAATGGTTTATCAGGAAAACAAAGCCAGGTTATTTCCAGGATTTTTCTGTATTTCTATTTCCCTGTGGATAATATGATTGGGGGACAGTTCTTGGTGTGCGTAAACTGTGGACACAGAGTGCGGGAGCTATACAAGAAATATAGCAACACTCTAAAAACCACCAATTGCGTAAGCTTCCACAGGAACAATTTAGAATTTGTAATCAATTTAGTTCAACTTCCACTTACACAGGAGAAATGCCATCTGGTCACAGACAAATACATCGAGTTTGAGGAATTTATCATCCTAATAGATGCACTTCTTTTGGATTCGTCTGCACTTCGCCATATAATATATAATGGCGACTTTAAGGTGAGTTCCACAAAGCTTAACGCGTTTGATCAATTTTTTTACACTTATTTGGGGTTCCAGCTATATTGGAAAGTTTCTTTGGTGGTGTTGCTCTTGGAGTCGTTTGCACTGTGCCGCCAGAAGCTTAGCGATCCCGCCAATGATGCCTTAAACGTCCACGAAAAAGGTTTCTACACATACACGCTACATCACATAGGTGGTAAGATCAAACTGTTTAAATATCTTCAATTTTTCATATAGTTTAATCAATATCTGTTACAGACTATCTACTTATAACCTTCTTTCTACTGCTAATTACGTCAGCACTTGGCATTGATCAGATCAAGAAAATGGGTGTTCGCAGTTTTACCATGACTATTATTAAGGTTGTTGTCATTTCAAACTTATCTAAGTTTTTCCTGCTCCCCATTTTGGTATGGCGCAATAACACGACAGTGTTTGGGCGTAGCATACACTATGTGCTGGTCATGGGCCACCATCTCTGTTCGCTGGTCCTTGCGTATGAGGCAGTCGGTTCTATCAAGAATCGTCTTCGATGGCTGTCCATTACATTGGTAATACTGGCATTTGTCTTAAAAGAATACATCAGACATTATGCCGCATTCCAACTGCAGTTACACTTAACGTAAATATTAAATATATATTAGTTTTTATTAGTAACCAAAGAAAATGTATAACCGCTTCATTTGTGCTGCAAATTTCGGATCGCATAAAGCTGTGTATGTGATAATAAATAACTTAATAAGATATTTAAACCTGAATATTTTATAACCTTAATAAACTCTGGTGTCGAATCGAGCTAGAAAACTGGTCCTGCTAGAGCAGGACATTATGCTTCCACATAATGCACATTGATGCTGGATTCGTTCGTAAAGCCCTGATATGGTCGGACCAAATACTCGTAGTATAGAAACAGACTAAAACTCAGTACCCTCTGAATAGACACAAGACACAGTTGTTAGTTAAACGATAGCAAGGGGTCATCTATCATCTTACATGTATTATAATTGTTTAAAGAAAATTCCACTATTAAAAACATATATAGAACTATTTTTATTGTTTTTGGGGGGTATGTAAGTTATTTTGAAATACGTCAAATCGTTTTACATACTAAATGTTGGAGAAACTGCGTTAAAACATTATAATAATCAAATGACGAATTAGGTTAAAACAAACAGGAGGTTGACCACTTTCATGAGTTAAATTGAGAAGCTAAAGTACAATTGATAATAAAAGTCAGAAAAAAAATTAATTTGCATTTGTTAATATCGGTATAAAAGACGAAAATCCGAGAACGAATTGAATTGGTTGATTTGTTGTTTGCTTATACGGAGAAAGTATCTCCTTTCGTATGAATGTACTTAAGTAAGTCATTAATGCTAATCGTAAGTCATGCTGCTCATACATTTTGTTGTAATGGCAGTTTGTAGCAACGACGACACTGACGCACAATTTGGGGGCAGGACAAACTTTGCATTTATATCGAAATTATAGCGTAATATTACTAGGTCAGCATCCAATATCTAATCATCTTCTAAGTCATATTCCACGAAGACGAGGACGAGCTGGAGGAGCAATCGTCGCTCTCTGTCGTTGCATTGCTTCCATTCGGCTTTGGTCCCCAAATGCGAACGGTGGCATCGTCACTGGCACTAGCCAGCAATGACGGATAAACCGGGTTCCACGACACACAGTTCACCGTCTTTGTGTGGCCAGCCAGCTTGGCCAGAGGCTCTTCGCGCTTAATGTGCCAGATATATACGACTTTATCCTCGCTACCGCTGGCCACGAAGCTCTCATTGATGCCGCCGAAACACGAATGGATGGCAAAATTGCTTTGGCGTATCCCCTGGAAACGTCGCACGAGACATTTGTCCTCAATGTCCCAAAGATGAAGGCCTTGATTGGATACATTCAACAACGCCAAGCGATCGGCAGAGTTGATGCTAAAAGTCATAATCGGATGCGGCTCTCTCAGTATATCAAAGTCCGAGCGTGGGCTATCAAAGTTGTAGCTGCAATGACAAATCATTAATGTTAACAAGACGAATTCGTGTATGGATAATTCTCTTGGGACTCACCCTCTGATGCGATAATGATTATCGGCCGCCAATATTGTTTTATTGTCAGCTCGAAAGGCTATGCTGTTCACACGAACTCCCTCCCAGGAGTCAACAATGGTGCCATTTAGATCGCACAGGTAGAGCTGACCCTTTTGGCCGCCACAAACGAAGCGAGTGCCATCGCGACTGAAGGCACCGCAGGCAAGGCTGTCCTCCAGAGACTGGGAGAACTTAACAAACAGCTTGCCGTCCTCCACATTCCAGATGTAAATCTCATGCGAGTCCTCGGTGCCGCCCACCAAAATGAGCTTGGAGTCGGGACTCCAGCTGACAAAGCTGACGCTCAGCTGCGCCTGCCCGTCCAGGACGCGACGGTGCTTGAGCGTGAGCTTGTAAGGGTCTACGTCCCAAATAATCACAGTCGAGTCCTTGCTGCCTGTAGCTAACTTAAGGCCATCGGGAGAGAATTTACAGAACCAAACCTCGTCGCAATGGTCAGTCAGGATTTGTATTGTCTGCATGGGAAATCCATCTGTGGTGCAACAGTGGTCGGTGAGCAACGAAACCGTTTGCAAATTAGTCTCCCACGCCATGTCGTGACAGGGGCAGTGTTGGCTTTGTAATTCTATTGCCTGCTGCAGTAGGGTGCGCAGCCGGCGCGGCGACATCATCACCGAAGGCGGCATGAACGTTTGCAGGCGCTCCATGACAAGGGCCCGGGACACGATGCCCTTGCCCTCCCACTTGGCTCGCTGATAAAGGTCCTGATTGGTGGAGCACATCATATACGAGGACAACTGATGCACACGCGATATGTTGTGCTGCAATGGTGTCAACTCGCTGCGCAGAACGTGCAGTGCGTCCAGCGGATTGGCATCGTCCAAATGCTCTAAATACTTTTGCTCTAGTAATATGAATTTCATTTCAGTTATCGTTGATAGTTTTCCATTATCTATCAGAGGCTCCAAATCCTGCAAAAACGAAATAAATGAATAAAACACTTGGAAACCCTTGCAGATCGCTCGTTACCTTGAGGTCTAGATCTGCCTTCACCCAATCCCCCTTTAACACATGCTCCCGGAACTTGGTCGCTGATGGGTGCTCCAAGTAACAACCGGACTCTCCCATCAGTGTCTTGACGGACTTATCGAGTCCCACGTCGTGCAGATACTGGCCAATCAAGCGTATGATCTCTTGATTGGACTTGTCCAACTGAACACCCCGGTAGCTGGTATTGTTATCCCGATTATTCTCCCCATCCACGATGCAGCTGCCATTGTTATTGACAGCAAAACCGTTTTGTTTGGCATCGTGACCATTTCTGGTGCTGCTGCCGGATGGATGGTCGTCAGCAGGTGCGGGATTGTCATTGCCACTTCCACCACCACCAGTCGTATCAGGGCTAACATTCTCTGTACTGCCGCCGCCGGAATTTAGCGTCAAAACATCTGCTGTAGCCCTGGAACTGGAGCCGGTCGATGTGGAAGATGTGTTCTGCATAATCGATCCAGAATTGTTGCACTCGTTGCTGTGCGATTTGCTTGTGCTGCTGTCGCTGCTGCTACTGGCTTTTGTTTTTTTGCTGCTACCGCTGCTGCTGCTGCTGTTACCGCCTGGAGGCGTTAAAGATGAAGATTGTTGCACTCTGCTAGCCGATGTGGATGTCTCCACGCTGTTATCACTGATCTGAGTTGAGTCGCTGCTGCCCTTGATTGATGAGCTTGAACCTGTCAAATTTGAGTTTAATTGTTGTTGGGGTTGCTGTTGTAATAGAAGGGCCGCTCTCGATGTGGATGCCGCATCTACTGGCGGCACTGTAGCTGAAGTAGTGGTGTCCAAAACGACAGAAACTGAGGTTGAAGCTGATGAGGCTCCTGAACGACGACCCTTTTTGCGCGGCGGCTGGTCCTCGGATGAGGCACCAGTGGCAGCAACCTTTTTGGTGTTTCTATCAATTTTGAGTACTTTTAGGAACCGCACAGCAACAAGAGAAACTTGTCGCCTTCTGGCGGATCTCAGATTTTCCAGCCGTAACACGTCTGTCTGTCACTCTCGTTCCCTGATTCGAGGGCGCTGCCTGATATGCCCTGCCTGGCGGCCTTTGTTTATTTAATTTCGTGCAGAACTCGTATATCTGCCTTGATTACGGTTCTGTTTCTGGCAATTGACTGCACTCGCTGATAAAAGTTTCAAATTGTTCAACTGCAACCGACATACTAGGAAGGGAAATCGAAAAATGAAAGCAAAAGATAAGGAGAGAGAAGATTAATTAATTTAGAGAGCATATTCCTACGATTTATAATTGGATGTCGAATTTCAATAGATCTGTAGAAAAAGTAGATTATCACTTAATCTCTTCCATATTTTATACTGCAATTTGAAAACGTTTGCTTATATTATCTATAGTTTTTCTAACAAAGAATTGTGTTTCATATATGCAGTACTTAGACTTATGTGCATATAACCCGATCCTACCCTGCGTAGATAGGAAAGAAGACGAGATATGGCCAGTCTTTGTTAATACTCTCACAAAGGTATTGGTTATACATATATATATATATATATATATATATACATATTTATAGGGCGGATGATTAATTCGTATATTTTATTTACAATAAAGTAAACTATGCTAGATGTACATACATTCATATTTGTGGGCATATGTACGAATTTACATCCCCAGAAATGCACTTGCAGTGTAATCGTGCGTGTGTATGTTTGTATGCACATACGTACATACGTATGTATTGGCTATATTAATCTACTCTGCTTTGTTTTCGTTACATATGTATGTAGTTATATACATTGAAGCGCTGGTAATCATAGGCAAAATGAACCTATTATAAAAAAAGCCCCCACGAGCACGATATGTCTGCTTTGTTATGGATTTCTCTTTTGGACAAAGTGCATCGTAATATATAGGCACATACATACATACACACATTGTTTATGGTCCTTTGAGAGCATATAAAAAAGGCTACACTCGAGTAAACTATTTGGCATGATACCCCGTAATTACTGATGAACGTACGAGCTCTCAATTAAAAAACTAAGACGAAATTGACACAATATACATACAATTGATGATGAAACGCACTTAGCTGCTTATATTTCGACTTCTCTGCTGCAATTAGTGTGCCCGTATGAAAAATACTATCTGAGCCGAAGGCGACAGAGCGTAGAGTAGACATTAGCGTTCTTCCTGTAAATGTTTTTGATTTGAATTTAGTTCTGCTACAGCCTTCTAAATTTTTGTAATTATTTTTTTTTTGTTTTTATTTATTTTTTTTATTAAAACAGGCTGGTTAAGCACGCATTAACATACTAACACTAACGATCATTTTTGACAAGTGTCAAGGTATTCCAAGCGCTATATTTTAGACTGTAGGCCATTTCAAATCGGTGTCGCACTTTTACGTCTGCCTACAAACGAGATCGATAAAAGGAGTATTTGGCAATTTTTTACTCACTGATTATTAAATGATGACTAACACTGGACTTCTGGTGTTTTTACTATAGAAAAGCACATTAGGTAGGGTCAACAAGGGATGGGTTCGACTATCTCGAACGAGGTTGAAACTGTTTGATCCATTCGCTGTACTCAAACTAGATCTCATTTAGAATTAAATCCCAAATATACCTGAAATTATAATATTAGTCATTCGGTTCCCGTTCAAAAATGTATTCAGTAAACATGCATTTTATTTCGCCTCTATTGTTTGTTATCTGATTCTGATCTGCCGATTTTGCGAAAAAGAATTTAGTGGTTTCTACCCGGTACTCAAAGAGTATGGGCGGTTTATTATATTCGTTTGATTATCATTTTGAGACATTACTCAATAATATTATATAAATGTTTTTCAACCTGTCCTGTGTACACACACATTTATGTAATTTGGATTGAATAGTTTCAGTCTGATGCACATATGCAGCTAGTGCAAATGTATGATGCTGTTTTCGGAGTATACATACGCGGCTTGTTTTTAAACAGTTTTTTTTTTATATTAAAATATAAACTTTTCAAATACCTGGGGATATAGGTAAATTAGTAGTACATACTCTTATTGTATTTACTTGACAAATTCATTTATAATTTACAGTTTGACTTAAATACATAGCAATAGAGGCTAAACTTATCAATACAACTATATCTAGCCTATTTATTAATATATAACAATTTATAAAAATTAAAATGCTAATCTTTAACTTCTTCCCTTTATACGGCTACGGCCATACTTTTACTTCGTAGCAAATACAAACTGCGTTCACAGCACGTTTGAATTAGCGATGCGATCTATAATATACGTACTGCGCTACTAGCTTTTACATATTTGTTACGTGAATTATTTGAATTATTGCATTCCCGTACATTCACAAAATCTTTTTGATTTCCAATTTCAGTTTCCAATCAGATATAAAATGAGAAACAAAAAGGGAAAGTTAAAAAAAAAATTTAAAACAGCTTTTTGAAAAAAATTGTTTTTCTGCAATTGTATATTGCACGTTTCGATTTACAGTACAGCTATTGATTTAAAATGCTCCATATAAAGTTAAATAATTGTTAGCCATGTTTTTATTGAAGCTGTCTAAAATTACACAGTGCCTAGGGAAAGTCAATGTCAACCTATTCTGGCCTTGTCTCTATCCAAAAAAACAGCAATCCCTTTTGTTTCTAAAGCAGCTAAATAAGCTGCTGGATACGACTAATGCCACCAGGAGGCACACTCCGGTTCGCTCTGCCCACAACTGTCCCTCAAATGGAATTGAATTGAAGCATACATTAAATGCTAAGCATCTCCCACCATTGCTGCTCCGTGTGGGTTGTATTTGGTCGAGGATATCACCGATGGTGGCAGCGAATCTTGTTGTTCCCGCAGCTGACGACGTCGCTTCTTGCTCCAAAGCTCATGGCAGTCTTGCCATGTAGGCAATTGTGGTGTTGGCATTCTGTAAATCATAGCAACAGAATGGGAATAATGCTCATTCAACATGTCCAAAAGGTAAGGCATACTCACTCATCTGGATTGATTTTCTTTAGCCACGGTGACTTGAGCGCATCTTCTGCTGTTATGCGCTTGTCCGGATCCAAGTCTAACATTTTGTCAAGCAGATCGAGTGATGCAGCTGGCATAAACTCAAAATCTTCACGCAAACGACGGCGATGCGTTTTCTTTTGCTTAAGAGTATGAAACAGTGGTAGCTTAATTACGTTCGGCCACACAGCGGGAATGGGCGAGCCGCAGATCTTTGATATGGTCTCCAATTGAGCCATCTCCGCATTGGCCTGAAATAGTGGCCGCTTCAGGAACAGCTCGCCGAGTATGCAGCCGCACGACCACACATCTATGGAAGGACCATACCGCTCCTCGCCCAGCAATAGCTCTGGCGGCCGATACCACAGTGTTATCACTTTGTTCGTGTAGGGACGCTCCCTATCGTCGGCATTATACAGACGGGCCAATCCAAAATCAGCCAGTTTTACTTTTCCTCTGCAAAATTATAGTCCAGTCGTACAATTTTCAAACAAAAAATAAACACAAATCTATGATAAGTACCTGTTGTTCATTAATATATTCGAACACTTGATATCCCGATGCAGAAAGTTCTTTTTATGGCAGTAATTGAGGCCGTCCAGTAGTTGCTTCATTATGCTCGCATTGTTCTCCTCATTAAAATCGACCATGCCAGACTCGAGCAGGCCCATGAGATCGTGGTCCATATACTCAAATACGAGATAAAATGAGCCCTTGTCCTTACGAAACTCGACGGCGTCCTGCTTGTCTGTGACAATTTCATGCAAGTTGACAATGTTGCGATGGTTGAGTTGCCTAAGAATTTTGATTTCACGCACAGCCGTTATGGGAAAGCCTTCCTTTTCGTGTTCTAGACGCACTTTTTTAAGTGCCACCATATCGTTTGTGTGATGATCCCGAGCTTTATACACCTTTAAAATTAAAATACAACAAAAATGCAGTTAGAAATCTGTAGAATAGTGCCACGCCATAGCTTACCTGTCCATATGTGCCTTCACCGATTTGTGCAATCATTTCGAATACGTCCACACAACGCTCGCCCCAGTCACGCACATTATTACGGGAATCCCGACGATTTAGTATCACTGGGCGACGACGCGATGCGCCTTGTCCACTGCCATGGCCATGCATATTGCCACTGCCAGTTGCATCAAAGTCTTCGGGACTATCGATCACATCATCGTCGCCACTGAGCTCCTCGCTGCCTGGTATTACCGGTGGCATTGGTAGGTTCAGGAGACTTTTATTGGCGCTGGAATTGGAAATTGTTTTCTCATCGTACTCCTTTTTGAGAGTCGAATGCGGAGGCGATGGACTTGGTGCATTCACAAGGTCCAACGCATTCATGCCGGGTGGCATGGGCAACGATGTCAGACTCTTCGGTTTGTGGTTATTCCTATTCGCTGAGATTGCTGCCGACAATGTGGTTGTCTTTAGTGCAGTTAATGAGCTATCTGGGACATCGGAGCTGGGGCCAGGATTTAGCACAAGGAAATCGTGCTCTTTGTTTGGCATGGGAATGTTGTTGACATCCAAATCCGGTTTGCTGCCACCACCGCCACAGCTACTAGGAATTTCCAGTCCATTTGAAGTCATGCTGCCGCCGCCCAAGGTTGTAGGTGCTGGCGTTGCACCTACACCTCCGGTGGCTCCAGTAGATCTGCAATCGGCTACATTAGGCGTATTGCCATCTATCGAGGAACTGTTATCGTTTATTGTCAAGGCGCCGTTGCTGTTGCTATTACTATTTTCCTCTTGACGCTCGATAATCTCCTTCAGGGCCTTTTGTCTTTTGTGTCGATCCTTGACCAGCTCTGCAAACAGACTCGTTTCACTAATCTTTTTAATGTATTCCTCGCGCTTGTGCTTCAAATCTCGTGAGGCTGGCGATCGACTACGTGAAGCTGAGCTGCCACTACTGGCCGTGCTGGGCGAGCGTTTGCGACTGCTGGTTCTTCTGAGACGCGTCTTCGGCGAGCGACGATGATGATGGTAATGGGAGCTCGAAGCACCAGCTGAAGAAGGCGGCGAAGTCTCAAAGTAGCGCGAACTTGCCCTCGGGGATCGCGAATATCGATCTGTGGAGGTGCCAGCACCCGAGGCACGTTTCGAGGACCGCGTCGGCACGGAAGTGGGTGAGTTTGGTGTCGTGTACTTGTGTTTGTGACTATTACCATGCCTAAACATATTTGAAATGCTTCCACTGGATGTCATGCCGCCAACAGGCGATTGCCGACCCCGCGAATGCTGTACACTAGGACTCCTTAAAGATAACAAACAAACAAAATGGTATAATTACTGTTCAGAAATAAAACCAAAATCCAGTCCATACCTGGATGCACGCCGTGAATACCGCTCTCTGCTATAGCGATCATATTTGACCGAATGGTGTCTGCTATGCTCGAAGCTTGCCACACTCATATCCCTGCCGTCGCTGAATTTTCGTCGCTTGTGGGGCGGTGTACTCGGCTGATGGTTATAGCGGTCCATCTCTGAAAATGTTTGTGACAATTAGCTAGCTCTCTTATCGCTCATCGGCCATCTTATCGCTCCAGTACACCTAAACACTGAACCCTGAACACCTACCCGGTGACAAACGTTTAACTTTTCTCGCATCGAGACTGCCACCTGGTCCGGAGCCCGAATATCGTGGTTGATATCCATGATCGTGGCCAGACCGATGGTGCGCATTTAGATCGTCTTTGAGTGGACTCTGTACATATCGGGAACTGCGTGAATCACGTGCATGAATTCCCACTCCACCACTGCTACCACCCGAGGTGGTGTAGAGTACTTGAGGCGGAGTTCGAGGAGAGTTGCCATAGCGGGGTCCATTGCCTCCAATGCGTGCTGGAGAGCGCAGGCGATTGCTCGTCTTGTTGGTAACTGTGACCTGGAGATTGGTGCCCAGCGATGTGTTGGGAGCATCGCCAATGGACTCGCCATAATAGGCGTTATTACTGTTTGAACGCCGTGTGGGAGGCGGAGTGCCCGGGGAAATGGGGCTGCTTTCCTTATGCGTGTGAGGTGTGTAGGAAGTTCCGGTGCTTACTGTCCGCTCGTTGTTCTTATTCGGAACATTTGGCGGTGTGTAGCGTCGATCCAGTAGGGCATTTATGTCATCCGACATTGACTCAATGCTGGAATACGATTTGGTCCTCTTTTTCTTACGCTTCTTCGACTTCTTCTTTGATTTGTGTTTATGTTTGTCCTTCTTTAGCTTTTTGCGTTTTTGTCGCTTCATCTCCGCCTCCAGCTCATCTGTGTCAATCGAATCGCTAGACATGTAGATCTCCCTACTCCAAAGTTCGTCCTTTGATATATTAGAAGCTTGCGCCTCCTCGCGATTATTCAAGGTGTCGCTCCCGCCAGTTGGTCTCGATCCAGATACTTCAAGATCGTCAGTTTCTTCAGTCCGCCTTTTTCTAACAGCAAAAATACATATATTTTCGATATTAGTTTCACTTTAAGAAATGGCTATGGCATGCTCAGTTATTACCTATAATTATCATAGCCTTCCTTGTCAGGTTTCGATGTAGCCCGACTACTCTTTACGAACTGATTATCCGAAGGTGGCTTTGGTTTCTTTGCATTTGTTGAGTCACATCTGCTTGTCAGCACTGCGTCAGAGTCAATCTCTCCTGCTTCGGGATCGGAGAAGTCCTCTGAGCTGACATCCGAGTACTCCACCAGTGCTGTTGCAGCTGCAGACGATGCATGCATCTTTGCGTCCTTCGCCTAAGCTCTCAAAACTGCCGTAGACACACCACCACGGGGACGGGTGTCTTTCCGCTGCTGCTTATAGTGTCAATATTCGTCGAAGGTATTTTATACACTCCAGCACTGTGGCTGTTTTTCGTTTTGTCAGGCTCGAATGTTTTGTGCAAACACCATCTAAATAATATCCGCCCTATCTTTTATTTACAATGCTGCTTTGAATAACCACCACATATCACTTTGACTTTGCTTTTAACAGGATTGTGATGTATGCCATTGCATGAAAATCTATAAATGTGGGCTGGAAAAAAACTGGTGCCACTGGGCATGGATCTTTGCGGTCATCAAAGCTCGAGTCCGAATCGGAGTTCCCTAAAAATTAAAATCGAAAATTATCACTTGTCATTTTAAGGTTATAATGAAATGGCGAGTGTGACCAAACGTTGAACATGAAAAATTAAACCGATAACGATTATTTTAATGTTGGTCATCGTCGCAAAATATAAAATATTATATAATGTTATTTGTTATTATTTTGGCTATGGATAAAAACAAACAAGCGGAACAAACACAAAATGCACTAAAACAATATTATATTGAATATATTTTTAAAATAATATTCCTTTTTTAGTTGAATAAATTCCTACATTTTATAGCACTGTTTTTACACTGTTGCGTCGTGACGTAGAATGATATAGATGTGTGCGTAAAACAGATAGATTTCTACTTACTCGGCCGAACACACGCACTCATTTGTATTTTCAATTATTAAATAACACGATTATCGGTAAGCCGAGTCGTACTTGGTCGCTGTTTAGTTTATGCGCATTTTTAATATAAAAAAAACAATGCCATTAATTTTCTGCATTTGCAATCGGCGATTAAATATCGGCCTGCACTATCGCCAGTGCTGCTCAATGCAAAACACTATTGTGTAAACGTGGTATTAACTATATACCGAAAATGTATAGGAACTGCACATATGGTATGGAATAGGTTTAGAAAACTTCTACAAATCCCTTTTATTTATAAATGTAATTTAAACCATTAGCTGATTGACTATTTGCTACACATCAATCGTCAAAGAAAATACTGTATCAGTATTTTTTGCTACTTTTTATCGGTGGTGCATAGTGCTGGTAAGACAGTTTTCACGTTTCACAGCACTACTGCTGGCGTTCTCTTTCAAAAAATTTCGGCTTGTTTATTTTTTATGTAGCGTTTGTGAGAATTTACTTCAAACTGGGGTCAACTTAACAAAGTAAACTATGTTGTCCACTCGAAATTTCGGAGAAACTATTGAGGTGAGCAGCCAAATGCCATGCAATGTGACTATCAAATGTGAATTTTCAATGTTGTTTGCGTCTGTAGGAGTACGAGGTACAGCACTTGTTGGGCAAAGGAGGTTTTGCTAGCGTTTACAAGGCAAGATGCCTGCACTCACATCAAGATGTGGCAATCAAAATGGTAAGTATTCCGCGTATGTGCTTGAGATGGGAATATCTTCTAATTTGTATACCGCCCAAGATCGACAAGAAACTAATCCAGGGCACAGGACTCACCAGCCGTGTTCGACAGGAGGTGGAAATTCACTCGCGCCTAAAGCATCCTTCTGTGCTGCAACTATACACATTCTTTCAAGATGCAAACTATGTGTATTTGGTTTTGGAGTTGGCCCACAACGGCGAACTGCAGCGCTATATGAAGCAGCACCTTTCGCGTCCCTTCACCGAATCCGAGGGGGCCACTATATTGAAGCAGGTGGTGGCGGGTCTGCTGTACTTGCATTCCCACAACATAATGCACCGTGACATTTCGCTCTCCAACCTGCTGCTCAGCAAGGAAATGCACATAAAAATCGCCGATTTCGGCCTGGCAACTCAGCTGAAACGACCAGACGAAAGGCACTTGACTATGTGCGGCACTCCCAACTATATTTCCCCCGAGGTAGTTTCCCGACTGTCACACGGCCTGCCAGCGGATGTTTGGAGTGTGGGGTGTATGCTCTATACGCTGCTGGTGGGACGACCGCCGTTTGAAACCGAGGGTGTGGAGTCGACGCTCAACAAAGTCGTGATGTCTGAATTCATGATGCCATCAAATTTGTCCTTCGAAGCCCAAGACCTAATCCATAAGCTGCTCAAGAAAAGCCCACACGAACGCATTACCCTTGAGCAGGTCCTCCGGCATCCATTTCTGAAAAGAACGCCTGGTGGTTCATCGTGCAGTACAACGCCTGGCGCGTTTAATGAATTCAGTCAGAGTCTTGCCAGTAGCGACAGCGGAATCGTAACCTTTGCCAGCAGTAAGTAATAGAAACTATTGATCACGATTGATATTAGTTCTATATCGTTTCAAAGGTGACTCTAGAAAATCGAACCGTCTTCGTTCTGTTGATAATTCTTCAGGACAATCGATGCCGCAGATAATGGAAGAATATTTGCCTTCGTCTAATCTGGGCTACGAATCGCAGGAACATCTCCCAATTTACGAACAGCATGGCTTATATCTGCCAACGCCAGGCGGACAGCTGGAGCATAGAGACGCCAAATGGCCAGGCACAAGCAATATCGCTCCATTCAGATCGGATAGCGAGAAGATATCGACACCAGTTGCCGAGAAACGCCTCTCAGTGCCGCCATTGGAAACGAAACGATTGCAACCGACGCGTTATAAAACAAAAAATGCTATAATGAGCATTTTGCGGACTGGTGAGGTTGTCTTGGAGTTTCTCAAGTTTAAGGCCAAGTTCAATGAAGATCGTATTACGGATATTTGTCGCATATCTGAGGATGGACGTCGTATTATTATCTATCAGCCCGATCCAGGACGGTGAGTACACACATATAAAAAGGCTTACTGTTTTGGTCTCAGCAAACATTTTTTTTATTTCAGAGGCTTACCAATAAGAGAACACCCACCAGACCCTCTGATACCCAGCGAGGACTGTGTCTATAACTACGAGAGTTTGCCGAATAAACACTGGAAAAAATATGTGTACGCTGCCCGATTTGTGGGACTGGTGAAGAGCAAAACACCGAAAATCACCTATTTCAGTAGCCTAGGAAAATGTCAGCTTATGGAGACAATGACGGACTTTGAGATTCGCTTCTATTCTGGGGCCAAGTTATTAAAGTCCTCCACTGACGGTGTCAAGGTGTTCAATGCGAATGGAGCAGTGCTGTCGGATAATGCCTGTGCGGAGGCACGCTATCTAATTGACCACGGAAATGAATCCTTCTCTCATTGCGTCAATATCAGTAATGCTCTTGAGCTCGCCCAGACCAAGGAGAATACGTGTTTTCCTGTCACAATCGGGCGGCGGCCTGCCGCAGACCCACACTCGGGCCAACGTTTCGATGGTCTTAGGGACACCACAAACTTTGCCTACTCCACTCCGAAATCAAATCAGGTAAATCGATATATTTAATGCAGTTTTTCTAGAGAGATTACTTATTTACTATTCCTATAGGGTTCAATTAACTTTTCCGTGAGCACCATTTCGACGACTCGAAGTGCCTCGGACTACAATTCAAATACATCTCGGCCCAACATGATGGCTGCCCACCAAAATGTTCCAATCAAACGTATCACCGTTCCCGAAATTGGAATCGTTACTGAGGTACGATTTTAAGTAGTTATTTTTTTCAACAAGTACTAATGTTCGTACCATTTCAGCTGTCCCATGGAGTTGTGCAAGTACAATTCTATGATGGATCAATGGTCTCAGTAATACCAAAGGTGCAGGGAGGAGGCATAACATATACACAGTCCAACGGCCTATCTACCCATTTTGGCAACAACGACGAATTGCCATTCGCGGTCAGAGATCGAATCAATCAAATGCCACAGTTGCAGATGAAGTTAAAGTGCGCTCCATTGTTGGGGAACGCAAGAAGTGTAGACTGCCATTTAATGACGCCCAAATCGACAACGCCTTTTTACAATCGCATGATAATTTGACAATTTGTGCATCTCATATTGATATCTTACGTTAAAAACAATCTTCTCTTCGTTTAATATTGTATTATAAAACAGAACTAAATATATTTTTAATATCTAAAATTGTTGCTGGGTCTACTCTAATTTATTTATAAACCCCAGAGGGAAATCCTGTAGAGCTTACATTTTAAAATGTGAAATGAAATTTCCAGCTATTGATTGTTTCTACAAGCTTCAGCCGTTCCAACAATCAAAATTACAAGACGTTGCTATTCAATAAAAATCTTTTATTGAAATGTTTAGTGTTTCAAAATCTAATTGTAAAGTTTCGTGGTTAGCATTGTACATAAATACTATTAGAAAAGTATAAAATATTTTATTGTATATACGCGTATGTATAATAAATTTAATATTAATGTGTGTGTATTGTTTCAGTGTTGTACGTATTTGATGTATTTTGTGAATGCGGCAACCACACGATAATACCTAAAATGGATAGATGCATGGATGGATTACACTATAATGTACTGCGTAAATTGCTTGTTTAATCAAATGTATTCAACAATTCAGAAGAATCAATTTGAGCATAAAGTAGTCATCAATTTATTTTGTAAGCCATTTGATTTGAAAACATAAAATTACACGTTTGATTATAAAAATAATAGATGTAAAAAGCTTAATGTAATGGACGGTATAAATAAACATTTGAACGGAAAGCATAGGCAATGATAAAAATTAATGGGGAAAAAAGCGACAAATGATGAAATAGGAAGCAAAACTAAATTAGAATCTTGTTATATTTCGAATGAATTGCTTGGCCATACAACTATTGTCGAACCAAATCGAAATGATTGCCAATAACTTATCAAAAACTAAAAGTGTAGTCTTAATATTAGGTTTAAACAGAAGATCTTAATTGTATCGTGTTGGCAGCATTGCACTAGTGCTGTGTTCGTTGTAAAGTTAGCCAAAATGTCGTTCTCAAATGTCGCATGTCTTCTCTTTAAGCTCAAATTGAATCTTCTGAAATATGTCCTAGAATCGATCCTTGGACGTAGCACTGTACTCCAGCTCGTTGAGGTTTTGCATTTCCTGCAGCTCTTGGAACTTTTCGTGATCCCGTATGTGCGCATAGTTGGCCGAGAGGCACATCAGATAATGAACCAGACTGAGAATGACTAAAAGGGTGGACAGCGTGGCCAGTATGAACATAACCTCAGCGTTCTCAACACCATCTTTACAGAATGCCTTGATCTCATACTTTTCGCACACCTTCATGTCCTCGAGTTTCGTGTTTGGTGGGAACATAAAATCTGGAAAAATCATTCAAGGGTTTAGAGAGTTCACTTTGAATTTAGCTTTAGGCCATAAATACTTACGGAATTGTGTCAAATCTATGCAGCTCTGTGAGTGCTCGACACTGGAGCACATGTTCCAGAACATGGTATATATGAACGTGACAACAACCAGGAAGCAAAGAATCAGACTCCACACAAAATTGAGTAGGTACGTGATGCCCATGAGTACGGCGCAGGAGATCCGGCCTCCAACGCGGGACCGCCAGGCTCTATATACCTTATAGCGCGTGGCGCCAGTTGCCAGAAAGCCAACAAAAAGTATCATAAATCCAAGGGCTGCCATGCCAGCTCCAATTATTACAAATATCATTTGCACAGCTTCGATCCTGAAATATTATTATAATGCTTAAACATGTGTCGGCTGCTGAGAATAATGGCTTAGTCTTACCATATCAATCGCAAATGAAATACTTGGTCTACCATTATGACTGTGAGCGATGCCCCTCGGTACATGGTAAAGCAGAAGATACCCACTCCCAGGAGACACATGAGAGTGGCTATCATCGTGGCGTAAGGGATACGCGCCATGCATGATTGGCAGCATTCACCTGCAAGAAATTTGAATATGTTTTTTATAAAATGTGAGCAAGAAAGATAAAGGTACATTCGATGAAAGTGAAAGAAAGAGTTTAAAAGGAGTTCACAATTTACTGAAATTTACTGGTAAGTTTACTGACTGGATTAGTTCCATAAAAGCGTAGGTAAAGCTATCAAACAGAAAAATTACATGTTGGAGAAACTTTGGTAGCAATCCCACGTTGTGCAGTGAAACACGAGTAGAGTGCCGCATCATGAACACGAGCATACAAACAAAAAATGTGCTACAGTGAAAAATATTGTTTCATATATTGATTTTACTCCAGTGCTCGTGCTGCTGTGGTACATCTTAAATTTGTAGCTTTGAGTAGTTCATTTAGGAGTACAATATATGGTGTATAAAGGTGCCATACGGAGGGAAAAGGGTTTATCTTAAGGGAATATATATGTACGTATGCACTAGAAATTGATAAGATAACTAAATGTAGCACGGCTATATGTGATAGCCTACAACAGAGTGATTCACGTAAAACAAAATAGTACTGGTGTGCGAGAGAGTGCAACAATTGCTTGATGACGCGTATTACCACAGAAAAACAATGAACATTTGAGCAATGATGTGTAAAATTGATTTGTGAAATAAAACCAATATATCCATTGACTTTGTCGTACCTTCGCCGCCACGCTCTGTGTACCTATCCAAGGAGTGTTCCGATCGGTACGAGGGGCGTCGTCGATTTTGTATGTTGCCCCCATTGTAGGGATTGTTATTGTAGGCACGCGTTAGCACACCACCGTCATCTTCAAAGTTCGTCTCGAGTAGGATCTCCTCTCGGGGATCTCGTATGCGATCGCGATCGCTCATTTTGCCAGGCATAGTGCACAACGGAATCTTAATTTGATCAGGCGCTTTTAAAATGCAGAAGTTACGGAATCGTTTTAGCTTTGTCAATTAATATGAATCACACAAAACCCAAAGTCCGACGTCATCAGAGGCATTCGCTTTCGCCGCCCTGCGATTAACAGATGTACGAATATTAAAGTTGTGCTGCGCGTGCTACCCGATCTCGATATAATGAATGAGGAAGGAACGACAACCTGCTCGTCGCCGTAGCCAAGAGCAAACTCAGAATGGGCGTTCAGTTCAACTCCGAAATGTTTCGCAGTCGACCGCGACTGATAACTTCTGTTAACTTTTTTCACTCGGAACAATCGTGACGGTTTTCCCCTCAGTTACTCTCTGAACGATAAGTAGGGTATATAAAATATAGTATGTATTCCTACATACAATGTGTGTATTGTATGGGCATACATGGATGCGTACGACGCTGCAAATTGGAAAAGATTGCTCTCATGCACAGGCCCGGCCCTCAATTGAATGACACAGACAATTACTACGGTCTCCAAGATAGCTTGGATAAGTTCTTTGCTCTGTATAGGGTCAATTAGTGTCAACATTAAAGGGAAATAACAATATAGACACGTAGGTACATGAAATTCAAAGGGAACATACACTGATCTACGAATTGCTCTGCACCTGTTGAAAAATCCAGCTTTTATGTTGTAAGCTCGATTTATATAATCACAGCTGCTTTCGTCTATTTCATAGTGGCAAGTGAGTTAATAAGAGTTAATAAGGCTCTTACAACAGGAAAGGATTTGTTCGGGCTCTCTTTTTGGGAATGCGATAGAGCAGGCAAACGACAATGCAACTTTTTGTTGAGTTAATTTTAAGACTTAGACCTTCAAGATAGAGAATGCAGATTTTATCCACAATTTTAATATTAATTTATATGCTTTTTAGTTTATTTGAATCAAACGTAAAATTTACATATGCATGTACACATATTTATGTATGTACATACATTCCCAAAAAGTCAGGTTTGTTGTTAGCCATAAACTCATCATGTTTGAACGAATTTGTAAATGTGTAGTTATTTGTTTACTTACCCATTTTAAACGGCGCTTGTTAGGAGCTTTGAAAATAAATTTAAAGCATTTAAATGTCGTCCACTCTAATAATCCAATCCAAGTGCATACATATGTATGTATGTATCGCAATTTTATTTGTAAGTTGCATGTATCGCTTCAGGTGGTACAAAACAAGTTTTTAAGGTGTGAGCTGAGCTGAGCTCTAGCCTAATTTTATGTGGTAATATTCACTCAAACGCTTATCACACACTTATTGAAACCGTATATTATTCAGGAGTCAATATCTTTTGTCATGTTTCTTCCAAAACATGCATTTAAAGTTTGGAGATTCAAAACAAAGAGCATAAATAAATAAACTGTATCTACTAGGGTTGGGAATAAACTAGGGTTGGGAATAAACTCGATAGCGCTATCAATCCTATCGACAGTGTCCCCCAATCCTACATTGGTCACACTATTCATTTCGTAACCAAAACAAAACAGAAATTTGTTAATATTTTAAATATGCTGCAAGCGTTTAGACCTAATTCGCCAACAGCAATTGTCGTAGTAAGTCATAGTATAGATAGAGGTGTATGTTTAAGATACAAGGAAATAATTTGATGTCAATCATTTTGCAGCGTGCAGCATCTACAAATGCAAAGAAACTCGAGGAGATCCGAGAACGTTTGGCCAAAGGGCCAAACTTTCAAGACTTTGTCCAAAACCCGGATAACTTAAAGAGTACGGGGGAAAACTATGATGGAAAATTGCGTCGTGAGAAGGGAGAAGAGCAACGCCTGCGTCTGCCGCCATGGCTGAAGACCACGATACCGATGGGCAAAAACTACACAAAGATTAAGGAGCAGCTGCGCGAACTAAAACTATCCACGGTGTGTGAGGAGGCTCGTTGCCCCAACATCGGAGAGTGCTGGGGCGGCGGTGAAAATGGAACTCAGACCGCCACGATTATGGTGAGGCTGCTTGACCTTTACTGATAACTAAGCGTGATCTTATGTACATACATATTTCGTTGTAGCTCATGGGAGACACTTGCACCCGCGGCTGTCGTTTCTGTTCCGTAAAAACAGCACGCATACCGCCGCCACTTGACGAAAATGAGCCCGTGAACACTGCCAAGGCGATCGCGTCTTGGGGCTTGGATTACATTGTGCTGACATCAGTCGATCGTGATGGTTCGTATTTGGCTGTCACTACATGTGCCATAGATACTTAAATGAAATGCTTCATGTACTCTAGATTTGCCAGACGGTGGATCGAAACATATTGCTCAAACGGTACGAGAAATCAAAGCTCGGTAAGAACTACAACGGGTTCAATCATAACTCCTGCTAACGATGGAATTCTTTCAATAGGAATTCTAATATTTTTGTCGAATGTCTGGTGCCGGACTTTCGTGGGGATCTGGATTGTGTGGAAACGATTGCAAACTGCGGTCTGGACGTCTATGCGCACAACATTGAGACCGTAGAGAAGCTGACTCCCTTCGTTCGAGACAGACGTGCCCACTATACACAAACGCTTCGGGTGCTTGGCGAAGCAAAGCGATTTAATCCCAATCTCATCACAAAGAGCTCCATTATGCTTGGTCTTGGCGAGACTGATGCTGAGGTTGAAAAAACTATGACCGATTTGCGAGAGGCTGGAGTCGAATGCTTGACCTTAGGCCAGTACATGCAGCCCACGAACAAGCATCTCAAAGTCATTGAGTATGTTACGCCTGAAAAGTTTAAGCATTGGGAAGAGCGCGGAAACGAACTGGGATTCCTCTATACAGCCAGTGGCCCTCTTGTCCGCAGCTCGTATAAAGCTGGCGAGTTCTTTATTTCGAGTATATTGGCAAACCGCAAAGCAAAGCAATCGCAACTCGACAGTGCACCAAAAAATTAGATTAATTCGTGATGTGTAGAATTTTTGATTTATCCGAATATGGCCTAGTCTTTCGATTGATTTGTTGGAAGTGTCTCCTTCTGCCTATGCATTGCTTCATACATATGTATGTGCATATATCTTTATATAGTGAAATTCTAGCAAACATTGCTTATGTTAATAAGCAAAATAAATTAGGTGCTGCGTATAGCTTGGAATCCAATAAAAGGATCCAATAAAAAAAGGAAACATCATCTATTTCAATATTGTTTTGTTTCTGGCGCTATTTTATCCCTGGCTCGAATCATATGAACGTGTTATATAGGTTCTGTTCAAAGAACTAGTTTAATTGAACTGCTAGCTCGACAATTGTTTTGTTTTTTTGTTCTGTGGTTAAAAAACAAAGAAATTAAAAGATGCCGCGCCTTATAAGCAGGCCTGAGCCTGCACCCACCTATTCGAATTTGGTAAGACGCAGAAGCAAATAAGTGATTCACTTGGATTTAAGCTTCATTGCTATTATCAAAACATTGATGGCTGGCATGAACATAATATGAATACATACTATGTACACATTGATGTGTCTGAATGTGTTGCCACAAGCACAGTACTATAGATAACGTTCATTGAACATAGTGCATCTGAACTCATTTATACATATGATATGTCTGCAAATTGTAATTTTATTTTTTATCAACAGGTTGGATTTATATTCATATTCAATCTCATTGTTGGAACAGGCGCATTGACTTTACCTGGAGTGTTTGCCAAGGCAGGATGGATGTTAAGTCTTATAGTAATTATATTATTAGCCACGATAAGTTATATGACAGTTACCTTCGTTATTGAAGCTATGGCTTGCGCGAATGCTATCAAGAATTGGCAAACCCTTCAGGCACTACGTCACCATAGTCGAAGCTCTGCAGAGAGCAGTGAAAATGATGATGCCTTTGGAGGATCTGACGACCAAGGATCAGATTTTAGAGAGCTCGAGCGGGTTCCTTTGACAATTCAAAATGCTGAAAATCATTATTATCAGTTGTCGCATAAATTTGAGTTGGGCGAAATGGCGACGATTTTTTTCAACGAAATCGGCCGCATCATGTTTTTCTTGTGCCTGATTGTTTATCTCTATGGAGACTTGAGTATCTATTCAGCTGCTGTATCAAGGAGTCTCCGGGACGTTATATGGTAAGATCTAACATAAATCTAAAGAGAACGTCAAACAGTTTCATATTTTAAGTGACCAGACAAATGCTACAGATTCCCTCAATTCGAGGCAGATGTTTTGGCCTGGAGACTTCAGGAATAATTTAGTCCACGCGTGCTGGAAAGAGCACACAATATCACGATTAAGCGTGTATAGAGTTATTTTAATTGGATTCACTCTCATTTTTGGTCCTTTTGCTGCATTCAGTATTCAGAAAACCAAATACTTGCAAATTCTCACAGCGATTTTCCGTTGGATGGGTAAGCAAAAATTTATATTTAGTAAGTTGACCGCATGAAAAGCATTTAAACTAATTCACAGCGTTTACTCTGATGATCTGTATATCGTTGAAACTATTGATTGCAAGAGGACCCAGAGGCCACCCAGTAAGCTTTAATGTGTATGGTATCCCCTCGCTGTTTGGCGCTTGTGTTTACTCTTTCATGTGCCACCATTCACTTCCTAGCCTATTGGCGCCACTTAAGCATAAGTTAATGGTATCGAAAATACTTTCTTATGATTATACTATCATTTGTGCTTTTTACATAGTATTAGCCATGACAGGGATATTTGCATTTGAAAGAATTGAAGACCTCTACACACTAAACTTCCTTCCGTACGATGAAGAGTACACAGACTTTGCGTCAGGTCTGTTAATAGGCATTGACTATTTTCTGGCACTTTTCCCTATTTTTACTTTGTCCACCAGTTTTCCCATTATTGCGGTAACACTGAAAAACAATCTTCAAACACTCTTTCTAGACATGTCTCGATACGACACGTACAGTCCGTTCGTACGAATACTCTTCCCTTTGTGTGCCATTATCCCACCGTTTTGTGTCACATATTTTACGGAAAGTTTGGCAAGTCTTGTGGCGTTCACAGGAAGCTATGCGGGGACTGGAATACAGTACATTATCCCTGTCTTTTTGGTTTATTTCGCGCGACGCACTTGTTCCGAACTTCTGGGAAGTGGTATTGTTAATAGTTTCGAAAGTCCTTTTAAATCCAGTGCTTGGTTGGTTTTCGTTTTTGTTTGGTCTATTTTATGCGTCTGTTTGGTAACCGTTAATATGGTTAGTTAAACGTGACTGGAGTCTATCAGGTCTATATTTAACTTGCACCGCTAGAAGTTTTAAGAAACTACATTTTAGTGAATCAAATTTCTTAAACAAAATTTTACACAATTTTCTTATGTAGGTTTCTGTTAAACATTTATTTATGTAAGTCAGTATTGAAATTGGCTGTGAAATAAACGAATTTCGATTCTATTATCCATATTGTATAGACAATACTTTATATAAAATTAAATATAAAAAAATAATTTAAATTTATGTACAATAAAATATTATAAATATTATATGCAAACTATAAATAGAGGTTTAAATGTTTAAATATAGACAATTTTTTGGTGCATTTTAAGGTAAACTTAGAGGCTGTTTACACTGGGGCTGCGTCATGCCACTAACCATACAGTACAAAATTTTTGTGTTATTTCTAGGAGGGCCCTAGGCAACTGCTAATCCGGCCCTGGACCTATTCCCGTCGTAAGACTTCATATTTTCTTGGTGTGTTCTGTCGCTCGACTCGCGCGGGGTATTTCTTCCATTCTCTTTTAGGCTAGCCTTTGCCTCTGCTTTCGGCACGAGTCTGGCAACGCCACAAAGCGACGTCACATTCGTTTTATGTTGTTTTTGTTTGAACCTTAATATGTAAATAATCCAATAAAAAGGACTTCTGAAAACTTGCCAATCTTGTAGAAAATTTATGTATCTATCGGATAAAATTATTTGCTTAGGGCTGAGTGGGTTAACTAACTAGTAATATTAAACCGAATATCAAAATTATGGAATACGATTTCAATCAATAAAATTGAACGTTAACCCTGTCGACCAGAGGGCTATTTAATATTTCCCCGAAATTTATATAACTTTAACATATTTTACGCATTACAGGTGAAAGATGTCGGTGATCATTTTTGTTTTTTAAGTAAAGAGGAGGATGGAGCTACAAGGATCCTAAGCAAAAAGTATATTTTCCGCGGTTTAATAAAGGGAGCTCGACTTTTTAAATAAAGAGGTGTTAAGGGGGTTAAGTCTCGTTTGATCGCCGCCCTGGTTTTCTGCCCTGGCTATGGAAATACAAATTAAAAAACAAAACAAGAAATTTCGCGTTTTTTAATTTTCGGCGTTGAAATGTCTTCGTCAGAGAAGGGCTCGCATAGGAAACTAGACCTGAAAGTGGAGAACTATCCAACATGTGCTGTGGAGGCACTAACTCGCCTAGGCATGTTGATAAATTCAGATTATTTTATTGCCGGCCGGTCTTATTCTTTTTGTTTTGCAGAAACTCTTATTGCTAGCCGCAACAAACAAAATTTAGTAATGCAAATTATTTCGGAATATATTTTCTTGGAGCGGAACAAGGACGGAGACGGACGAAAGTCCCAGTCGTTGCCGACTAGCCAGATGACATTATGTCAAGAGTTCTTCTTGATAATTGCGCTCATTGAATACTTTTCGAGGCCAGGACGGGATGCCACGCGCAATGCCATATTTCTTTCACTCTTTGGCAGCCACCTTACACCCCAACGTTCCAAGTTGTTGTCCAGACTAATAAGTACTGCTATTTCTGGATCAGTGGCACCACTGCTCTCCGCGGCCGGTACGTGGATGCAACAAGTTGGCTGCAAGACCCCACTGAGTCTGGAAGTGGCGCAAAACATTGTGAGTGATTTCATATTGTACTCTCGTAAGACACCAGAGCAATTGAAGCAATTGCCTATGGTCGGGCCGCACTTTGCGGCAAACTTTATGGTAGCTGTGGCCGAGCTCTACCTCAATGAGCAGCGATCAGTCGCACTGACACCACCGCCAGATGCTCTTTTAGATGCGATTACGGAATGGATGAATGAGAACCCAACCTTGTGTCAAGCATCTCAGCAGCCGCTGATTCTACCAGCTGGAGCTATTGCAATGCCATTCGCTACCCCGTTGGCTGGTCTCTTGCGATGGGCAGTACTTGCGCCGTTGGTTTCCAACAGACTTGCATATAGCAACCTACACTTATCTGTCTTGCGAACGCTCCAACACCAAGTGACCAGTGGAGAGTCGACCGCTCTGCCCTTCCAGGACTTGATGCAGATTACTAAGTCTTTGCAGAACTATTGCGCTCGTTTGAGTGAAACCAGTGTGGATCCACGTACCGATGCTGCTTATCAAAAGTGCATGGAACGGCTCGCCCAAGCTGTGCAGATCGCCATTTGCTGCAACTGCATTACAAACCAGATACAGCTCCTGTGCGTGTTAGAGTCATTGCCGAACCACAAGCTCATGGACATCGTTATAGCTGCTAATAAAAAGCTGTAGTTTTTTATTCTTTTTGGAATATAAAAAAGTGGCTTATTAATTTATAAATATTTTAAATACATATAAAAAATGTCAACTATTTTGTTATTATTTTCGTTCTTCATCGATTTCTGGCGCTGCCACACTGAAAAATATCATCGTAGCGCGCATGACTACAAGGTGCAGGACACGCCAAGGAATCGGTCAGAAATCAATAATCATTTGAGTTTCCAGCTTGCTTCTAAACGTGTTGTGTTCTTGTTTGTTAAAACCAAAGCTGTCGCCAAATTATACATATGTATATAGTTATTGTATGATGCAATGAATCCAGTACCGAGTCGCGAATTTTTGGAAGTGCATCCGCTTCACCAGCATCAGCCACACTGCAAGCAGCAATGTTTTGTGTTCACAGAGATATCAGATATTGAGCTGCCCGCGGAAATAACCAAGTTCGGTGGTGGCAACGAGAAGATTAGATGCAGCAATGGCGGCATTCCGCCTTACACCTCCAAAAAGGATTCCAGCAGTGAGCTATCCGGGGAGCGCCCAGAAAGGTCCCGTGGCCGAAAGATTCTGCTGGGCGTGGGTCTGGTACTCTTATGCATCGGCATGGCAGGTGGCATTCCATTGGCCCTACAGCTGCGCTCCTCTTCGCTGCTAGAGGCCCGCCTGTCATTCATTCGACGCTTGCTGACAGAATCGCCACTCATTGAGGGGTCCTGGAAGCCACCAACTACCACGAACTTGAACAGCAGCAACTTGTTCGAGGTGCGCCAAAATCATATAGGCGCAGTCCTGTGGCCTATTGCTGTACCCTGTGCTGCTCAATATCTAGACGCGGTTCAGCTGGCTCTGGAGGGCATCGATAAGGCAAAACGCATTACTGCTGCTAGCGAACTAATGCATATTGTGGAGTCGGCCGATGAAATGGAGCAAACTCATATCAGGGGCGAAGTGGCTGTTCTGATGGGCATCAGTGGGGGCCATGCTCTGGGCACTAGTCTAGCAGTATTGCGCTCTATTTATTTGCTTGGCGCCAGATTTGTCGCCATAACTAGCTTGGAGTGCACCACACCATGGGCTGCAGCTGCGATTCGCAGGAGAGATCACCTCATAGAGGAGAATGTAACGAATTCATTCAACGAATTCGGAGAGGTGGGTACTAATCAGAGGATGAAGAAGCCCCACCAATCCTCTCTATTCCATATATTTCAGAAAATGCTACTCGAAATGAATCGCCTGGGGATGCTGGTGGAGATATCTCAACTAAGCGAGGCAGCGATGCTTGCCGTCTTGCAAACAGCAAAGGCTCCGGTTCTTTTAACAAACGCTACACCACTTTCTATCTGCAACAGCACAAGTATTGCATCCATACCGGACCACGTGCTCAGGTGGGTCTAAATCATGATTTTAATTATGCATAAGGAATAAATAATTTTGTTTATCTTTTACAGCCTCTTGCCAGAAAATGGAGGAGTCGTTTTGCTCAACTTGGAACGGTGTGGAGATCGAACATTAAGCGTTCGAGAGGCAATTAATGCCATTAACTATGTGCGGAAAGTATCCGGGGTAGATCATATTGGACTTGGCGGAGCACCGAAGAGCTATGCTCTTTTGCTGGCAGAGTTGGCGCGGGATAGGGTGTGGGGTAATGCTGCGATAAAAAAGCTGGTTGGTGGAAATGTCATGAGGATTTTGCGCGAAATTGAGACCTTAAAGAGTCGCTTACCATTGTATGAGGAGTGGATTCCGCATGAGTCAATTGAAAGCAATTCGTATTGTCGCTATCCAGAGTCTTAAAGAACTCAAATTATAGTAAAGATTTGTTCTCATATATTACACCAAATATATTTAATTACTTTATCGAAACACCACAGCCGAAATTTTATAAATTTCGTAAATAATTTAGCCCCAGCAGAGCAGAGAAATTTGGAAGCTGATCTAAAAGGAGAGTTTCGCTTCTTAAAATGGTTACAAAAGTATTATAACCTTGAAAATGTTTTTATTGTTTGTTAAGTAGTCTCAAACACCAATTTCCCAAGCAACCAGAATTGCGTAAACCTCGAACGATTGCACCCTGTTCCTGTTCTTTCTGTTCACAGCAGATATTCAAGCAAACTTCCATCTCAACTCTCAATAATAAGATGTGAAAACTTATTGTGAGTATTAAACAAATTCAATGAATAAAAAACTACAAAAAATTATTTAAAAATTAAAGCCCATTGCTACAGCACTTTCTATTCAAGTGAAGAGTTATCTTAAGAATCCCTATATAAACATATAAAATTACATTAATTTACAGGAATGAAATTTTCGTGCTGGAGTCCGTGAAGTGTGCGTAGCTGAAGAAGTGCTTTCCGGGAAGAGAAAAATTCCACCTGATCCATGGGAAGAGGAAAGAGGCACAAAGGCACAAAGGTAAGCCGAAAGTCATAGCTCAGCAAAATCTCCGACATTCAATGAGACCGATGAAGGAAAATCAAACAAACATAAGTGGTTCGTTTCAATTTGTACAAAGATTTATATTTAATGAATATCTGGCTAAGTAAAATACATATCGGTGTAAGATGGGTATTATAATAGTATTGCTAGTGCTAGGTTTTTAACTTCCATGACTAATTAACATTGATCCCAGTTCGAATACCGAGTGTCAGAGAAATCACCTCTCGCTCTGATGGCCGCTCACTGAACTCACGCTTAACAATTCTCCTCGATAAGAGGTCTTCCTCTTGCGAAATGATCAAAGAATCATCGTCGGCAGCCTTTAACTCGCGCTTAACTCTAGTTGATTCGCTTTCGTCCTCATCAATCTCAAAAATGTTATTATCGGTGAAAGCCAATTGGTTAATTTCCTTAAAGAAAGAGCTCTTTGCATTTCGAATAGTCCTATCGTAGCCCGGGTCAGTCAAGGGCGGTAGATATGTAGCAGGAATGCGACTCGTACCTTTGTATCCGCTGTCGGGGCAACGTGGATCAATAGATCCAGGATAACAATAAGTAGGCGTTGTTGCGGGAGGCTGAGTTGAAGTAATCAAGTTATAGGAGGGTTTGACAGTGGTGTCCTGTTTGCAACGTGGGTCTGGCGACACAGCGTAGCACCTTAACTTTTCCCCATCTGTTGGAGTCGCTGTTGTTACGGGCTTAGATGTAATTGTATTATAAGTTGGAGTTTGTTTCGTTGTTGGTGGCAGATACGTTGGTGCTAGACAGTCTGGGGAGGTTGATCCTGGAGAGCACCTCGGTTTTGCTGTCGATGGGAGCTCCTGAGGGCATTGAGGGTCAGTAGATCCAGGATAACACCTCGGCTTAGGTGAAATTGTTGGAGTGCGATATGTAGAAGGCGGTAAATAGGTGGCAGGTTGACATCTGGGGTCATCTGAGTTCTCCTCACAACCTGACTTTTTGGTTGTTGGCACCTTAGGACATCGTGGATCTGGAGAACCTGGGAAGCAGTTGAGGCAGTCTGGATCCGGTGAGCCAGGATAACATCTCGACTTTTTAGTCGTCGCGGGCCTCTGTGGGCATCGAGGATCGGTCGACCCTGGATAACATTTCGGTGTGTCTGTGGTTATAGGACCTCTAGTCGTCGACGGTGCCGAATAAGTTGGTGTTCTTCTTGTTGTTAGCGGCTGGTAAGACACATTCAGGATCGTCGATCCAGGATAGCACCTTGGCTTAGGTGAAATTGTTGGTGTCCGATATGTAGTAGGCGGTAAATAGGTGGCAGGTTGACATTTGGGGTCATCTGAGTTCCCTCACAACCTGCTTTTTGGTTGTTGGCACCTTAGGCATCGTGGATCTGGAGAACCTGGAAGCAGTTGAGGCAGTCTGGATCCGGTGAGCCAGGATAACATCTCGCTTTTAGGTGTTGTTGGGTCCGGATGGTGCCTGGTAATGGTGTGTCGGTTAGACTCTGTCGTGGGTCCATAAGTTGGGTTTTTCTCGTTGTCTGTGACACTTGTGTACCTGGATAACTCGTGTTCTTGGTTAGGCTCTCCGTGCCGATAAGTTGGTGTTTTTCTCGTTGTGGTGCACATTCAGGATCGGTCGACCCTGGATAACATTTCGGTGTGTCTGTGGTTATAGGACCTCTAGTCGTCGACGGTGCCGAATAAGTTGGTGTTTTTCTCGTTGTCGGTGAAACACATTCAGGATCGGTCGATCCTGGATAACATTTCGGTGTGTCTGTGGTTATAGGACGTCTAGGCGTCGACGGTGCCGAATAAGTTGGTGTTCTTCTTGTTGTTAGCGGCTGGTAAGTTGCGGGGGAGGCACTCAGGATCTCTCCGATCCAGGATAGCACCGTGGCTTAGGTGAAATTGTTGGTGTCCGATATGTAGTAGGCGGTAAATAGGTGGCAGGTTGACATCTGGGGTCATCTGAGTTCTCCTCACAACCTGACTTTTTGGTTGTTGGCACCTTAGGACATCGTGGATCTGGAGAACCTGGGAAGCAGTTGAGGCAGTCTGGATCCGGTGAGCCAGGATAACATCTCGACTTTTTAGTCGTCGCGGGCCTCTGTGGGCATCGAGGATCGGTCGACCCTGGATAACATTTCGGTGTGTCTGTGGTTATAGGACCTCTAGTCGTCGACGGTGCCGAATAAGTTGGTGTTTTTCTCGTTGTCGGTGAAACACATTCAGGATCGGTCGACCCTGGATAACATTTCGGTGTGTCTGTGGTTATAGGACGTCTAGTCGTCGACTGTGCCGAATAAGTTGGTGTTTTTCTCGTTGTCGGTGAAACACATTCAGGATCGGTCGACCCTGGATAACATTTCGGTGTGTCTGTGGTTATAGGACGTCTAGTCGTCGACGGTGCCGAATAAGTTGGTGTTCTTCTTGTTGTTAGCGGCTGGTAAGTTGCGGGGAGGCACTCAGGATCTCTCGATCCAGGATAGCACCGTGGCTTAGGTGAAATTGTTGGTGTCCGATATGTAGTAGGCGGTAAATAGGTGGCAGGTTGACATCTGGGGTCATCTGAGTTCTCCTCACAACCTGACTTTTTGGTTGTTGGCACCTTAGGACATCGTGGATCTGGAGAACCTGGGAAGCAGTTGAGGCAGTCTGGATCCGGTGAGCCAGGATAACATCTCGACTTTTTAGTCGTCGCGGGCCTCTGTGGGCATCGAGGATCGGTCGACCCTGGATAACATTTCGGTGTGTCTGTGGTTATAGGACCTCTAGTCGTCGACGGTGCCGAATAAGTTGGTGTTTTTCTCGTTGTCTGTGAAACACATTCAGGATCGGTCGACCCTGGATAACATTTCGGTGTGTCTGTGGTTATAGGACGTCTAGTCGTCGACGGTGCCGAATAAGTTGGTGTTTTTCTCGTTGTCGGTGAAACACATTCAGGATCGGTCGATCCTGGATAACATTTCGGTGTGTCTGTGGTTATAGGACGTCTAGGCGTCGACGGTGCCGAATAAGTTGGTGTTCTTCTTGTTGTTAGCGGCTGGTAAGTTGCGGGGAGGCACTCAGGATCTCTCGATCCAGGATAGCACCTTGGCTTAGGTGAAATTGTTGGTGTCCGATATGTAGTAGGCGGTAAATAGGTGGCAGGTTGACATCTGGGGTCATCTGAGTTCTCCTCACAACCTGACTTTTTGGTTGTTGGCACCTTAGGACATCGTGGATCTGGAGAACCTGGGAAGCAGTTGAGGCAGTCTGGATCCGGTGAGCCAGGATAACATCTCGACTTTTTAGTCGTCGCGGGCCTCTGTGGGATGAGTCGGTCGCCGCCGGGTGTCTGTGGCGTCGTGCACATTCAGGATCGGTCGACCCTGGATAACATTTCGGTGTGTCTGTGGTTATAGGACCTCTAGTCGTCGCGTGCCGAATAGTTGGTGTTTTCTCGTTGTCGGTGAAACCTTAGGATCGGTCGACCCTGGATAACTTTCGGTGTGTCTGGGGTTGACGTCTAGTCGTCGACGGTGCCGAATAAGTTGGTGTTTTTCTCGTTGTCGGTGAAACACATTCAGGATCGGTCGATCCTGGATAACATTTCGGTGTGTCTGTGGTTATAGGACGTCTAGGCGTCGACGGTGCCGAATAAGTTGGTGTTCTTCTTGTTGTTAGCGGCTGGTAAGTTGCGGGGAGGCACTCAGGATCTCTCGATCCAGGATAGCACCTTGGCTTAGGTGAAATTGTTGGTGTCCGATATGTAGTAGGCGGTAAATAGGTGGCAGGTTGACATCTGGGGTCATCTGAGTTCTCCTCACAACCTGACTTTTTGGTTGTTGGCACCTTAGGACATCGTGGATCTGGAGAACCTGGGAAGCAGTTGAGGCAGTCTGGATCCGGTGAGCCAGGATAACATCTCGACTTTTTAGTCGTCGCGGGCCTCTGTGGGCATCGAGGATCGGTCGACCCTGGATAACATTTCGATGTGTTAGGCCGGCGGGTGGACTTCCCTGGATAACATTTCGGTGTGTCTGTGGTTATAGGACGTCTAGTCGTCGACTGTGCCGAATAAGTTGGTGTTTTTCTCGTTGTCGGTGAAACACATTCAGGATCGGTCGACCCTGGATAACATTTCGGTGTGTCTGTGGTTATAGGACGTCTAGTCGTCGACGGTGCCGAATAAGTTGGTGTTCTTCTTGTTGTTAGCGGCTGGTAAGTTGCGGGGAGGCACTCAGGGTCTCTCGATCCAGGATAGCACCTTGGCTTAGGTGAAATTGTTGGTGTCCGATATGTAGTAGGCGGTAAATAGGTGGCAGGTTGACATCTGGGGTCATCTGAGTTCTCCTCACAACCTGACTTTTTGGTTGTTGGCACCTTAGGACATCGTGGATCTGGAGAACCTGGGAAGCAGTTGAGGCAGTCTGGATCCGGTGAGCCAGGATAACATCTCGACTTTTTAGTCGTCGCGGGCCTCTGTGGGCATCGAGGATCGGTCGACCCTGGATAACATTTCGGTGTGTCTGTGGTTATAGGACCTCTAGTCGTCGACTGTGCCGAATAAGTTGGTGTTTTTCTCGTTGTCGGTGAAACACATTCAGGATCGGTCGACCCTGGATAACATTTCGGTGTGTCTGTGGTTATAGGACGTCTAGTCGTCGACGGTGCCGAATAAGTTGGTGTTCTTCTTGTTGTTAGCGGCTGGTAAGTTGCGGGGAGGCACTCAGGATCTCTCGATCCAGGATAGCACCTTGGCTTAGGTGAAATTGTTGGTGTCCGATATGTAGTAGGCGGTAAATAGGTGGCAGGTTGACATCTGGGGTCATCTGAGTTCTCCTCACAACCTGACTTTTTGGTTGTTGGCACCTTAGGACATCGTGGATCTGGAGAACCTGGGAAGCAGTTGAGGCAGTCTGGATCCGGTGAGCCAGGATAACATCTCGACTTTTTAGTCGTCGCGGGCCTCTGTGGGCATCGAGGATCGGTCGACCCTGGATAACATTTCGGTGTGTCTGTGGTTATAGGACCTCTAGTCGCCGACGGTGCCGAATAAGTTGGTGTTTTTCTCGTTGTCGGTGAAACACATTCAGGATCGGTCGATCCTGGATAACATTTCGATGTGTCTGTGGTTATAGGACGTCTAGTCGTCGACGGTGCCGAATAAGTTGGTGTTTTTCTCGTTGTCGGTGAACCTTGGTGGTTCGGTCTCGTCCCGTGGGCCTTGGGGCCGCCCCCTGGCGGGGGGTGCCGGGGGGGGTTCTCTGGGGCTCGTCCCCCCCCGGTGTGGCCCTTAGGACTCGGGTTGAGAACCGGGGCGTGGGCGTTGGCGGCGGTCTCTCCTTTAGTCGTGCGGGCCCTGTGGGCTCGGGGTCGCCATAACTTTCGGTGTGTCTGTGGTTATAGGACCTCTAGTCGTCGACTGTGCCGAATAAGTTGGTGTTTTTCTCGTTGTCGGTGAAACACATTCAGGATCGGTCGATCCTGGATAACATTTCGGTGTGTCCGTGGTTATAGGACCTCTAGACGTCGTCGGCGCCGAATAATTTGGTGTTCTCCTCGTGGTTATTTCTATTGTTGGCTTTGTCGGTATTGAGGAAGAATTTGAAAGACAAGCAGGATCTTCTGAGCCGGGGTAGCACCTTGGCTTGGGCGCATCTGTAGGTATTCTGGTCTTTAAGCTGCTACATGAGTATTCTCTTTGACAAGCTCCATTGCACAATTCAATATCACACTTTAGGTATACTTGGGATCGATCGGGGAACTTAAATGCTTTGAGCGTATTATAATATGTGGAGGTAAGACTGGACCTGGACTGGGATTCCAACTTTTTCCACTCCCCAAATATTTTTTCCTTTATAGTGCAGCCTCTCTTATCGGAGAGCTGTAACGTCTTGGTGGTTTTTGCCTCAAAGTTCATGTCATCCGAGGCATAGCACTTCAGTATGTTTACGTCCCATGCTTGAGTCGAATGCTTTACATTGATGGTGAACGTTACATCGGTGCCAAGCTTCAGTGTTGTGCCAATGGGCTTTATATTCGGTGGTATTCCAGTACCAATTTCCATCCAGCACTCCACTGGACCGCTTGGGGTATCTACGGAAACTACTTCGAGCATATCCACGACGAACGGCTTGAAGTAGACCGTTTTCTCCTGCTCCTCGCTGCGGCTGCATGATACTTTTCTCGCTATATCCCAACTATTCTGAATATCTTTATCATTTTGTATAATTAGAACATTCTCAATTGAGGAGCATATCGAGCATGACGGCTTACTGCCGCAGCCATCATACGGCACATTGAATACAAATTTTGTGTCTCCATTATTGGCCGCCACATAGCTAATAGGAAGAAATATAATTAATTACAAAATGGTAAATCTCTATTATTAAAACTAAACATACGTGCACTTGGGATCATTGTAATAGCCCTGGCTGTAAATGACTCCGTTAAAGTTTTCTAAAAAGTCTACTTCCACCGTCATTCCATTTCGTTGGTCGCATTTTACATCGATCTTTTCAATATTTTGAACTGACAAAGATGTCTCAGTATTGAATGTGGGCGGGGAGTAGCCTAAGACATCATTAAGAGATTCATCACTATTCAGATCCGTCCCTGAAGCAATGACCTTCAAAATAAGAGAAGAATGATAGTATCCGTTTGTAACTCTGTACTAAAATACATACCACTATTAGCGTCCATACAAATATGTGGCCAATGTTGACCATATTCAGTGTGTTTGCTTTAACTTCAACCTGTAAGACGCATACTTATTGAGTCAAAATTAATCAAAATATCACTACTGCATATCCATCTCTGATGAATAAACTTCAAGGGTAATTGATTTTGATTGTTTTTCTTTTCTTTGTGCTAACCAATTATTCTAGTCTTTTGCATTTTGTAGCACCATCCATTCCAATTTCATTGCATTCATTTCTTTGTGAAGTTTAGTTAAAGTTTCAAGACCCTACCTTTCAAACAAAGACGAAAAATCAGTTAAAAACCCAAGGAAATAACCATAAATAATTTGCTCACATCATTTTTTTTGACATGGGTCTATCCCTCACGTCAAAATTTTTTATAATTTCAACTTGACGGCAGAAAAAATTAAATTTTGTTTCATCGCATAATTATAATTAAGTGTGTCACAGTACAAATATCGAAGAATCTTGAGTACTGGGTGAGGTAAGATCTACTATATCGTAAATTAGGTAAATTGAGTACATGCGAAAGCGTACAATATTTACAAACGCTTCATTGTGATGATGCTGATGCATCTGCTTCGCAAAAACTGGTTTGCTTTTTGAATAATACAACTAACCTTTAAAAAGAAAAAAGCTGCAGATTTCAAAATCCATACACATAAAACACAAACCAAACGAAGCAAAGGGAGACGGACGAGAAGAAAATATTGTAGTAGCCAATGCCTAATATTTGGTTACCCACTTGATAAAGGGGTTCCAATTTGAGGCCTTTTGTGTGGCATTGGCTTCTGCAATTTGATGGCTGGCTGGCTGTCTAGCTGACTGGCTGGTTGGGCTAGTATTTTTTTCTTTCTGTCGAATGTATTATTAATGTATAAGGCACTTTTTTCACAAAAGCTCCATTTGCTTGGGAGATTGCCAGCATTAAGTTAACTAGATTTATACAATGCAATATTATTATGGATAATTAACGGTCATAAACACAGGAAATCCAAGACCCCTCGAATAATTATATTTCTACTCGTACTCTTGGCTTTTGCAATCGTAAGTTTCGTAAAGCAGAAGCGCAAATCGGAAATAAAATTCAGCCTATATTTTATTTGTTCTTTGGACTATTTTTGATGTGTATAAAAACGTGTGGATATATTATTTACAGACAATCGTTTGAATTTAATTTGATTGTTAGTTTTCTGGGTCCCATTTCTCGCTGCTACGCGCATGACCTAGTTTTTGATTTTTTATTTTTGATATTTGGTATTCGCAGTATTCACGAGTGATCTCCAACATGCCAATTTAATAATATTAACCCATAATTATATACAAATTTAATCAAAATTAGTTAATTGGGTCAGTTGTTTGTGGTTTCCTTTTAATACATTTTTAAGTTTTGGGATAGTTATTAATGACATTTAAGCCACAAATTGATTTTTCCTGTGGCAGAAATTCGATACCGTATAACGATATTTTAATCAAATTTAAAAGCCCTAGAGCCACGTAATATTTTTCCATACATTTTTATTTAGTCATACCAACACATGAGCTCTAAATGGATATAAAAATACCTTCCATATATGGAAGATCACTTTGGGCAAAAACGAATCAAATATGGGCGAATTTCGGTGCAGGTTACACAATGAATTAAACAAGTGTGAGAGGCGTCAGTATGGTATGGCTGTTTCGATATGACCACATGAGCTGAGCCTTGATTGCTTTGGTGCCTTGGAGTGTACAATAGTATTTACCATCGTATGATGGTATCATTAGAATACCGGTATGTGCCGTCCCGGATTACACAAATCAATAAAAATTTGCATTTATAATTCATCTTTCTCATTAAAACTTGCGAATTAGATTTTGCGATACTTATTAAAAAAGACAAGAAAAAATCGGAGAATTTTTATTATGCCTCAAGCGCAAATGCGCAAAAATTATTGCGCATTGTAAGAACTGCGGATCTGTAAAACTTGTTTCGTGCTTTAAACTGTATTTGAACAGAACAGAGGAGTTAATCAAAAATACCCGTTAGTATGCTTCTTAAGTATCGCCGCAAATGCTTTAATTAATAAATCTTCTTCCCAATCTGAGTATTATATTGTACGAGTATGTATTTGTTCGGAGAGTTCCTATAAATTCGGTAATTTATTTCATTCCCTTACGGAAATGTGGGGGGTTTTTACACTTTTCTGCAATTATCCGTTCACTGACAAAACGTTCGATTTAGTTTTTTCTTTTTTCACATTTGTAGGAGGATTCACCTGTTCTTAGTTCACTTAGTTTATATTCTTTTGGGTGTAATTAATAGCCTATTGTGCGGCGCACATAAATTCACTTGAACACTGGTTTTATATGAACGAACACTCGCTGAATCGACTAATTTATTGGTCCATCATCGTTTGGATGGGGGCTCTGACTTACTGCACTTGTTTGTTGAGACCTACTGGGGGATTGTTGCGATTTGTTGTCGCTGGTTAAGTGGACGTTGCCGCACTAAGCCTCGAAGAGGTTCGTCTTCGTTTATATACACACGAGGTATGATTTAACAAAATCCGTTTTGGATATTGCTATAAAAATGCAAAGCCCCAGCCCCAAGCCAAGTAAAAACAACAGCAACAAAAAACACCCAAGCTAGCAGCCCCTGCCTATACACATATTGTTGTTTATTTTACGTTGATTGTGGTGTCTTTACACGCACACTAATCACTGTAGGGCATTGCGACTTCTTCAAAATATGAAGATCGGTTATATATTCTGTCGAATGTACACATGATGGGTACTTCAGCTGCATGTGGAAATGAGTAAATATCTTAGTCTGAATTTTTATCATTTGAAGACAATATTTAAAACGACCTAAAGAGCATTGCATAGTCACCAATGTTATTGGGGATGGGTCTTGCGATTTTTTCCATTCATGTTGATTTCGTGGGCAGAGAAGACGCGTGAGCAGCATCCACACGCCGACATGGCGTCCGTTGTCTTGACTTGACCCAAGCGCGCGACTGGAACATTTTCAGCTAAAAACTGCGCTGCTGCGCCTTCGCCTGTATGGTTTTAGGGCCAAACAGTCATTGTACTAGCTACATCTGTATATTCGTGGCCGACTGTCACTACGGCGTCTTCAATGTTGTCATGCAACTCCAACCTGCGACGAGTGGTGAGGTGTGGTATTGCTGTTGCCGTGGCCAAGTTGATGCGCCTGGTCATCCCTAACAGGTATTGGGATCCCAAAACTTTGGAAGCCCAACGTCCGCTTCGTGATGCTGATAGATTTCAACCAAATGGCATCGGTCATGGCGATGCGATGCTATCGCTGTTCGTCGGTTTGTCGCCCTGGGAACTTGGCGCGAAGGTAAGAAGAATACGGATAAGCGTTTTCTGCCACCGTTGGCTCCCTAGCCTAGCTGCCTATACCAACATTCATATCTACATACTCATACGATGAAATCATGATACCAACTCTGTTGAAAATGCTGAAGTGTTAGGGCCTTTGGCAAAACCTCACGTAACCTAGACTGCAATTAAAATTTGCTTTTGGTGATCTTTTGCATAGAAATGTGTATGCAATGCAGGACAACTGTTAGTACATTTGTTTATATTATTTTATAAGAGTAATAGGCTTTTGGCTAATGATGGTGATTAAACATAAGCCGCATGAGTAAGAGAGTTCAATAAACGAAAAGTCAATGCCAGTACCAACCAGTGAATCGCAAAAAAACAAGCAAGTTCCTCTCAAGGATAACTTGCGATCTTACGAATTGACGAGAGATTACAAATATTTATACATATTTTAATGTTAATGTTCTTGGAAAACAAATATAGTCTACCGGCGTTCATTATAGTCCACCTGCGGAATAAAATGATCTGGAAAATATCAAACAAATCTTCAATCTAAAACGAGAAGGAACGTGTTAACAACTGAAAATTAAATTTCTTCATTCTGGCTATAATTATGATCAGATCTGATTCAGATTCGGCAATCTGGTAGATATGGTCATTCTCTACGATACTGCGTTTTTAGTTTTATCGTATCTTTAAAATTGTGCCTGCCACAGATTTTCGTCTTTTATGAAATTTTGAAATACATTTGTAGCAGTGTGATATCACATGAGTCTGGAAACAAAATTTGGTTGCTCTAGCTTTTACAGTCTCTGAGATCCGGGCGCTCATCGAGACGGACAGACGGACGGACGGACGGACAGACGACAGACGAACATGGCTATATCGACTCGGCTATTGATGCTGATCAAGAATATATGTATATACTTTATGGGGTCGGAAACGTTTCCTTCTCTGCGTTGCACACATCCAATTTTACCACAAATCTAATATCCCCCTTAACTCTTTTTTGAGTACGGGTATAAAAAGACGCAGAAAACGAACGAAAATTGAAATGAAAAGAGTAGGAATTTCAATATGTGATTTTTTAAATGGAATATAAAAGAAAAAATGTTGGCCTGAATCGATATACGTTATTGAAATAAATACAGAAAATTAATTTTCTTCTTAACAATTTGGAGCGCAATTCTCGGACAAGCTAATGAGCAGCCAGAAGCTGCGGTCGATGTTAATTCTAACGTGGTTTAATTTCAGTTCCAGTTGAAGGCATTTTTGAGAGTATTGTGACCCATTTAAAAATTAAAGAAATTAATGCTTTTTTAACAAGGACTTCCAGCCGTCGGCAAAGAAAACCAATCAAAAAATCCAACCAGACGAAACTAAATATTTAACTGGTAAAAATTTAAGAAGAGCTTTTAATTGAGCTTTTAATTAAAGCTTATTTGTTGTTTTTTCCCTATTAAATGTTGAAAAAATACCATATAAAAATTACAAAAATTTTACTTGAAAAACAGAACAAAAATACTGAAAAAAAGTACACTATAAAAACAAAAACAAAAAACGTTTGGCCACAAATCGATCACTTAAAGTTCCGTTAAAAGCTCAGTTGTTTTAGTGGCGCCAAACAGATATCAGCGACCACTTCTTGAACTAACATTTTTAGTTGCATTCATTCAACAGCTTGCTGCTGGGGAGTTTTGTGTGTAAATTTCAGGGCAGTATTTCGAGTTCGGCAGCGCCGAACTTATTTGCTTACATTCAAAAGCTAGCTGCTGGGCAGGTTGTAGAATTTTCTGGAACTCGTCGCGATGTTCTATCTAAATTCCCATTTTCTTCCCATCTTACAGCATGCGTTGAAGATTGGCCTTCCCCCCGCCAAAAGGAAAGCCAGCAAATCATTTACAACACGAAATCCGCACAGGTGGCAATTAGTAAGAGCGGTAAATAATATGGGGCTGCTGTGACGACTGCGTTGATAACTTAATACCTGAAAGGGCACAGCGTCGACTTGGCAGCGGCTTAAACGCTTTAGCTCTGTGGGCTCTCGCCTATATTCGCGGACCTGCATCCCATCCGTGGAGTGCCGGCTCAGCACTCAAGACAAATAGGCCAGGCGGGCACAACACCTGGCGGAACTGCAAGTCATAATTTGCACTTTAATGAAAGCGGCGGCGGCGCAACATTCGAACAGGTTAGTGTTGAACAGTTCTATAAAGTCACTGGAGTTAATCGCTGCGACGTCGACGTCAACGGCGGGCTGTAATATGTAATTGATTCGCATGCCTATCCAATCCCCGTCTCACTCTCAAACCCAATCCCAATTCCAGGCCAGGCCAGGCCCAACTGCAGCAGCCCCATGACTATAATAATTACTGGTACATTGGTACAGTGGAAGGCAACCAACCCCTCTTTGGGCTGGTCGGCAGCTGGAGCCATTGCCGCAACCGCAGATGTTGCCCGGTAATTAAAAATAGTCAAGCTGCATTTCTTTTTCGCCCAGCATCCGGTGATGTGCATCCATCCTTCCTTGTATCTTTGTGGGATGGGCCAGAACCGGGTCGGCTGTGGTTTGGACTGGATTTACATGCGCTGCGCTTTGTCTGATTTAATTATGTGCGCAAAGGCGTCGTTGTTTCATAAATTTTATGCATCCTGTCGTCGCGGAACACAGTAGCCACTCAAAGTAGTTCTTCAGGTGGGTATGATGGGTATAGTATGGGGCTGCGCTGCCGTTGTCTCTCCTGTGGTTTGTATGGGGACGGGATGGGACTGCTTTCCAGCCAGATGCAAATGTTGTCAGGTTTTGATAGACTTGTTGGCTGCCAACATGATTTGTCAACGAGTCAAGTCAGGGGCAGTCAGGGGAGGCCATAACTTGGGCAAAACTGAAACGATTTTGAGCGGGATGCGCAAGACCCAATGGGAAGGAGCCAACGTAACCATCTAACATACTTTGTTTGACGATGTGGATGCGATGGATGCTGTGGTAGCTGTGGTAGCTGTGGCAGCTGTCTTCTCCCTTTTGATGGGTGAGTGTAAACGTATCCAGAAGCAGCATGTTGCCAGCATGCGGCCTGGCCTGGCCTAGCCGTTTCCCACGCTTGCAAAGCCTTGACGCGACTCCACTTGCATGTGGAGAGTAGCAAAGTAGTAGCATTCAACAGTAGCTGCTAAAGCAGCTGGAAACTGTCAACATTATCGGACGTGACTCGCTCCGACAAGATCACTGCCACAACTCTGGTTGGCTCTGCGGCCCTGCGCCGAAATGGAGAGAGACAAAAACGCTTGCCACATGCAAATCCGAGTATACTCGGAAGGCATATGGCACACAGCAACCCAAACAGCGGGATCTGAGACTCGGGCTGATGCTGATAATGCCTGCAGTTGCTGCTGCTGCCTGTTGCCTTTGTTGCTACCAAATAAGCCAACGACGACAGCAGCAGACGCTGCTCGCTGATTCAGATTTTGCCGCCAAAGCCGCAGTCGAAGCTGTGGTTTCAGACTGTGTCTGCGTCTATGCAAAACTTCTAGCCAATTAACTTGGCTAGCAGCGGCGGCGGCGGCGGAGGAGACCCATTCCCGGTCCTGGTGCTGTTCCTTATGATTAGAATCGTCGACAGGAGGCCGCCGCCGCCGCCGCTGCTATACGGGCACGGCAGCAGAGGCCAACAGCAACTGCAACATGAGGCGCAACTAACCAAAACTAATGAACCATGTTGCCGCTGAGCTGATGAACCCGGGCTGATTAATGATGCCTGCTGGAACAGGCAACTGCAACTGAAAATCCGCTGGCTGTGGATACACTCTAGCTTCTGATCTCAAGCCCAAACCCGAACCCAAGCCCAAGACCAGGCCCGTTCCCTGAGGCCCAGCTAACAACTTAACTAGTTCAATGGTGGGCTTAGGGTTGGCCAATAAAAGCACTGAGAGAAATTTCAACACAACTTTCGTGGAGTTTCGAAGAGCGTGCCCGAGTGGTGTCTCCTGCCTTTCTTTCCGTGCAGGTGTGGAGACGATTTTTGGCGGGCTGAGAGTAAGGAGCTGACAAAACTTGCCAATGCCCAATGGCCATGGCCGAAACAAAGGCCGCGCAGGCGCACCTGAGAATGTTGATAGCCCCATGGAGGCCCAGAGAGAGGCTGCACTACAGAGTGAAGGATGGAGTGGGAGTAGAAGGATGGAAGTGGAAGTGGCAGTGGCAGTGGAAGGGAAGAGGAGCGGAGCGGAGAACATGCTCAAGCCCAAGTGCAAGTCGTTTTTTATGCCACTCAAGCAGCAGCGACAACAGCGGCCAAAACAAGGGACTGTTCCCTGTTGACTTGGGTCTGGGCCTTGGTCCTCTCTTCTCGTGGTCTCCTCTGGACAGAGGTACAGATCTTGGCTGGGGGATCGGGGCCCTTTATCACATGCGCACATCATTTACTGGACGTGGACGCAGCGCACTTCAGCAATTGCCTTTAAATTGTTTGCGTCGTGACAAAATCAATGTTGCCCCGTCTGTTGCAGTCGTTTCTGCTGTTGCTGTGGCAGACGCAGACGCAGCAAAAGCTACGGCCGCAGACGTCTGCAGTTGTGGCCTCTCTCTGACAGCCTCCTCTTGGACAGTGATTCATGGTTTATTAAGCGCATTATGCCGCAGGATACTTTGAAGTTGCCACAGCGTCAGCGCAAAGGAGAAGGAGAACGAACGTTCGTTCAGGGCAACAGCAGCGACGACAACGACAACAACAGCAACGAGTTGCACGTGTTGGAGGCCCTTAAAAATGCGGCAATTGTTTGTCCCTCCAGCCATCGGCAATGGCATTGGCCATGAACACTTGGCCACCACTCACTACTCAGTTGGGCGAGTATGTTGCTCCTGCTGCTGGTTCTGCCGTTGATCCTCCCTCCGTGCTGGGCCAGCAATTGATTACTTAACATGTTTTATGCGTACGGCAAGTTATGTGGCGACTGGCGCGTTAATTTGCCTCCTTGCCAGGCCCCCGATCTATCCATCCTGGCCTTGGCTACGTCTAAGCCACCTCTCTGTGCATTTGCGGCTGCATCAGAGTCTGCGCCTGCGTCATCTGGGGGCCAAACAAATTGCCGCTCGGCAGGCGCTGGCCGTAAATCAGCGCACCAGTCAAAACACATCAGCAGCATCAATAGTCGATACTCAAAATTGCGTATGGCTTTGAGGTAGAGCTTCGCTTGGCTCGGCTCTGTGCTTGAGTCTGTGGCTTCCCAGGCCCCGACTCGATTACCGTTGGCAGACCCAGACAGACACGACACCCACATGAGGCGAGGCGAGACCAATTTCAAATGGGGCGTTCCGCAAATCGCTTCAAAAGATAACTCCAAGTACGAGCGAGTGCCACGCCAGGGATGGCAGCGTGAGGCCACACATGTGAAATGTGTTTTGATATACCTAAATCAGTAAAACTAAATTTGATTTACTTAAATATTCAATAACCATAAATTCCTCTCATTGTATCCAATCGCAAAGCATGCGCATCCTCTCGTTATGGGGACCACCGTTTTGGGTTCGTAAATATCGATAGTCTCTGGAAAGCGGCGCCAAGCTGTTGCCTATATTTCGCTCGCTCTCACTGCATGCTTTTCCCATAAGGCCGTCTCTGTTTTGGCAGGAAATACATATGTCTGTCACATGGATCAATTAATTATTTTATGCAGGGTTGCACTGGATCTTTTTTCTGCGACGCCTTAATTATCATTCATGCGTTTTATTTTTGCTCTACGTTTGTATTTTGCTCTCCTTTCATTGTGCGAGCTTTTTTTTACCGTTGTTACGTTGCTCACATCATTGCTGTTCTCTTTGCCCACTGCGTGTTAATTATATTTGTGTGTTTATGTGATATTTGGTTTGTGTTTTGTTTTGTGTCGTGGGGAATTGCGCAGGCGCCCATAGAGACATACACATACACACATATACATATATATACATACCTACATACATATGTAAATGAGTACATTAGTGTGATAAATCTTTTTTTCCTTTTTCCTTTCATCCCTACTAGCAAGATGCTGAACGAGGACGAGGACATGCAGACCGGGAGCAGCGACGATAACGAGGAGGATAGGATCAGCAGCGACGTGAAGCTCGACTGGAAACCCTTCAACGCCGGTGTCGCCCATCAGCTGGCGGCGGCCGGACCAGTTGGTGTGGCGGCAGCAGCGGCCATTGCCAGCAGCTCAAGGAGGCGCAATCGGGCGCACTACTTCGAGGTGAATCCGGCGGTGCGCAAGCGCACGCAGAATCAGCTGCTGCGCAAGCTGCGTGCCGTCATCGACGAGTTCTCGGTACGTGTCGGCAAGCAGGCGGTGGTGCTGGTGGCGCAGCCTGGTAAGCCCAACGGCATCTACGAGGTGTTCGGCGCCAATCCACTGAAGGATGTGCTACTCAGCCTGAATAACATCGTTTTGAACGAGCTGGACCATGCGCTGGACCAGCAGGCGCCGCCGCCGCCCCAGCACGATCCGTCGCTGTTCACGCTGCCCGGCCTCGTGATCAATGGTATGCCGACGCCCGTCGAGATGATGACTCTGGCCCAGCTGCGGACCTTCATCCCACTGATGCTCAAATACTCGACGGGACGGAGACTGCCCGGCTGGGGACGTCAGTCGACGCGTCCACCCTGGTGGCCCAGGGAGGTGGCGTGGGCCAATGTGCGGTTGGACGCCCGCTCCGTGGAAGAAAAGCAAAGTGGGGTGGGTGTTAAGCAGACGCCCATTTAAATCGCTGAATTGTACAAGTCTCTGTTCTACGCTCCTTTTATCCATCTGTAACGGCTGCAGATCAGCTACTCGAACGTGCTGCGAAAGATCGTAATCAGCTGCTACAAATATCACGGACGAGAGGACCTGCTGCCGAGCTTTGATGATCTCGATGACGTTCTCAAGCTGAACGATTCGATCGCGCAAGCGAGCAACGAGGACATGGAGCTATCCGGACGGAAGGACCTGCTGCCAACCGTTGCTGCCGACAATGACAAATTGATATCTTTGATGCCACAATCGGGCGAGCAGGACGAGGACATGGAGCAATCGAGCAATCCAGCCCACCATTCACCATTCACGACAATGAAGCCATCCACCGTTAAGGGAACAGCAACGTGAGTGATATGCATAGATTTCCCTCGCTCGCTTTTCGCCATTAGGACTGAGCAATATTACACTCACATTCTTCTCTCTTTAATTTTCAGATGTTATTAAAAGTTGGAAGATAAATGAAGAAGCTATTAAATCTAAGACTACTCTACAAATGTGTATAACCAAGGAAGAATTAAACGAAGAACAATGAATTGTATGTATGCATTTATTTAAGGACTTACTTCCAACTGCAATGTGTGCTGGTAGAACTATTCTTCGAAATTGTCATTCTACTCGTGCATACATATGTACATACATATGAATGTCTGTATGTTAGGCCTCGTGTCACGTGGCCAGATCTGTCGCTTGTACAGCCTGGCGTATGCGCAATGGTTGCATGTGCAAATGGAATTAATTATGCGCCGCGTAAGCAAATACAAAACGAATGGAAATTGAGTGCGAGATGAATTGCCAGTCGGAGATGCTGGCGGGCGATAAGTCCTAAACGTGGCTCTGATTTATGCCAGCGTTGTTGCTGTTGTTGTTGCTGCTGCTGCTGCTGTTACCTGCATTACGTATGCCAAAAATATGCAAATTGGCAATTGGAAGTGTGAACACCGCCAGTGGCAACAGACCCGGCAACAGCAGCAGCAGCAGCAGCAACAACCACATGGCCACATCGGCAGCAACTTCCCCCGTGAATTATGCCAGAGTTGGCGGCGTCGCCCGGCACTTGCCATTAGAATGCCGCCGCCAATCGGAGCGTCAGAAATAAATTACAAAATCGTGTAAAGTGCAAACTGGACTTGGACATGGGATGCCTGGTCTCTGTGTCTGGGTTTTCACTGTTTCACTGCTTCACTGCTTCCCTGTTTGTTTTTTTTTCCGCAGCACATTTTGTCTTTTGACGTTTCGCTTGGTTCTCTAATCGCCTTTATGGCCACATAAATCTTGGCTAAAATTTGCCGTTGCCCGCCAATGAATGGATTTTCCTTTATTTATTCATACATACACATACATACTCGCAATCGTATTTTTTCAATTGAGGCTGCCAAGTGGTCGAGGCTTTGATTTATTTGCGCTCTCTTTGGTCTGCTGATAATGATAACATTCGGAGCATTTTTTGCACGCATTTTTAATTATTTATTCTCAGTGGTAGGAGGTAGTAGGGGTCGCCCCATGTCGGCTCGGCTCCCTATCCGATGGGAATCGGCCGATATGCCATGTCGTGTGCAGCCGGCGACTTGTCATTGCATCGCTTTACCTGGGAAATATGCTAAGTATGGCCACGCCACGCCCAGGGCGTGCGGGGCGGGGTAGGAGGGGCAGCCACCGCCGCCTGGTGCACAGTACTCCTGCAGCTGACAGGTGCAGGTGCAGTCGTCGGTGGGCCGATTGCAAAGTTAAGCTAATGAATGCAACAGATTCCCAGCGACTTCAATCTTGGCATTACATCAGCTTCGACTTAGTTCTTGGCTTCTGTTGTAAGTCAACTTGGAACAACCCATAGAACTCTACCTAAAGCAAAACAATCCATTTTATCTTGGCTGCCAAGAGTTCCCCACAAGATTTGCCCGCAAGCGAGAAGGAAGTGTCCTCTTATCGTCAGCATTGTATTGCTCATTATAGCCATATCCGTATATTACACTGCTAATCCGGCTGCTGCTGCAATTACGTACGATTAGCCTCATCCACCCACCGGACACACCAGCATCATCGGCACGAACAAAGAGCCAAAAAGCAGGAGGCACGGCACAATCACAGCCACATTTAGTCATACCAAAATGCTCCGTAAACTGACAGTCTATTTGTTTTGTGTCAGTCGTCTGCGGCCATTGCCATTTGCTGGCCGAGATTGTTGCTTCCACAGTCGAAGCAGCAGCAGCAGCGGCGGCAACTGTGGCCGCTGTCGTTGCAACTGTCGCTGACACGCCTGCAATTGCACTGATATGAATCACACCACAGACCCATGGACCATGGACCCACGGACCCAGACGGAGAGTGAGCCGAATGAGTAGCATTATCTAGATAAATAATTATTCAACTTAAATCGAAATCGTAATGAATTTTTCGTAATTCTCTTTCTGCAAATGCTGCTGTGGCTGATGTGGCTGCTGTGGCTGCTGTCCTGCTGTCTCTGCTGCTGCTGCTGCTGCTACTTTTTGCGGGAGTGTCAAAGTGACGGCAATGAATGCATTGTCAGTGCTTCGTTAGCAATATCGCAGACTGGCAACATGTTGCTGCTTGCCCCATGTTGCACGGCTTAATTGGACAGCGATACAAATCGCACCGAAAGAGGGTCCCGGCCACGCCCAGCGAAAACACCTGCAACCGTTTACACGACAGCCCCAACAACAGCCTCGACGATGCCAATTTGTCAAATTTCCGCATCGAAATTGGAGCTGATGCTAAAGCTAAAGCCAAAGCCACAGGCAGACTCCAAGTCGGATTTAGAGCTGGTCTCGGGACTCACTTAACGCCCAGTCGGCGTTGCAATTATCCTTATTAGTTGTGGCATAAAGCCCAGCCGATGGCCGCGATCTGGCCAAAGGGCATATCTCCTTCGGATTCTGATTCTGATTCCATTCTGCTTGTTTGCACTGATAAATGCCCCGGAAAGCGAAGGCTCCGGGGGCTGGGAACACGCCTAATTACACGGCTCGAGTGTCGGGAGTGTTTGGGAGTGCTTGGGAGTGCTGGTTGGGAGACTTCCAGGAAGGCCTTACCGTCCGTGGCCAATTTCACACCAATTCCCTTTTGGCGCGCCAAATGTCGGCCGAGCTGCGCTTCAAGTTTATGTTCTTTTCACTTTTATAGGCTGGCGAGGGAGCGAGCGAGGGGGGACCGGGGCCGGGGCCCTATCATTAGCCGCCAGACTTGGACATCGACATGGACATGGCCATGGTCGAATGATGTGGATTCAAAGCAGTTCCCCGGCCCGTCAATAGCAGCAATTATGGATCGACTCCCCTGCCATCCCATCCCAGTCGATTCCGCGCATTGTGAGGCATTTATGGCGCCGCATACGCTGGCAATTAAACAATTGGGCAGCAACAATGCTCCTCTTGGCCAAATTAAGCCCGGCCACCGGCCCACTGCCCATAGTTGGTCAATGAAATCGAAACAAGTTGTAAGCGATAAGAACTTGTCCATTGTTGCGGGCTGTTCTGCATTTGCTGTTGCTGTTGCTGCTGTGTCTGTGGCATTGTTGTCGTCGCTTGTTCATTGACTTTGGCCGAGTCTCCTTCTACGTACTCGTATATAATTATGGACATTATTATTATTGCCTTACTCTGGGGCCATACAACGAAATTTGACATGCTGTGGCTGCCACGGCGCCAGCAGCTGGAGGCCGATTAGCAATCAGTGAGGCGGTGCCCCGCCCCAGCTACCGCAATAAATTCGCAACGGAAATCCATCCACTTGTATGATCGACACCTGTCCCCCGGATTACAGCCATCGATCGGTTGAACTACCAGCAATTAAATGTAAGGGCAAGCGATTTCCTGAAAGTACACTCCACCAGAATACACTCACGAATCCTCGTATACGGGGACTTCTTTTTTAGAGATGTCCCAGGCTGTCGCTCTGGCAATTTATGTGCCCAAACCTGGGAGCAGAGCAGAGGTCTGCACAAGTTCTCGCTGTCTGTCTCGCTGCATCCCATTTGGGGAGAGACTGTGGCCTAGTCGTCTCTTTCGGGAGCATGGCCCGCAGCTAATTAATTTGCCATTTGTGTCCCATTAGCGTAATTGTCTGTCAGCCGGAACGCGCCTTGTTCTCCCCTTTGACATGGCTAACGGCCGACGACGACGACGACAGTTGGACAAGCCACCGGACTGGACATGCAACTGGACCTGGACCGGCTTGGAGGAGCTGCTGCTGCTGGTGGTGGAGTGAAGTGGAGTGGAATGGCCAACCTTTAACTGCATTTTATGTGTCACCATTGTGGCCGTCACCCGTCTACGTCGCCGTCGCCGTCGCCGTCGTCGCTGATGATAATTTGCATACGACTGAATACATGTTTCGTCTCGTACACCCCGAGACGATGGCCATTCATTTAGCCTTCTCCTGGCGCCTTCTCATTGGAATAGGCGTGCCGTGCCGCCAGCAGCCCACATCGGTGTCTAATGGCACCCATCAGTCTATGGGAACACCTGCAGGTAGCCCACGCGGCAACGCTCCCTCTACCACTCCCACTCCCAGCCACATCCAGAGCTAGCCAAGACACACGCAACGATTGCCCAGACACCGCCATAAATGAGCCCGAAACCAGAACATTTTCCTGCATTAGAGATGGGAGATGGGAAAAGTGGGAGTCGTGATTTCTAACAGCAATGGAAACAGTGCAAGTGAAGGCTCAAGGAGAGGGGAAAAGAAGGTTATGTTTCCTAGCAAAAACGCAGGTTAATTGGAAACTTCTTCAATCCCTTAACAAGAAATTTGTTTATCCCTCCACGGCTGGAGTAAGTTTTCTTCCTAGTATTTTTTTCTCATAATTTCTTTCCACTTTCCTGCTGCAATCAATTCCTTTAAGTATCTCTGGAATACCGAATCACGATGCAGAATTTCTGCGGAGTGCAGCTGCAACACTGTCGCACACCGCACGATCACGATCCGCACCGATCTCGAGGGGGCTGGCTGTCGGCTCGTTTGCCTTTTAAAGGCAAGTCTACTCGTCGCTGGTGGAGCGGGTCTAAGAGCAATTGCCGTAGATTGCTGGCGCAGATGTCGCCAGTGCGAGTGCTGGTCCCAGGTCCCGGGTTCCAGGTCCAGGAATTGTGCCTGGCATTGCGTGGCGGCCCTTTCGAGGCAGCTGCGGTTTGGGGCAGACACAGACACAGGCCCACGCACTTGTCTGGCCGCCAAGTAAACAAAAGGCCGCCAAGCAAACTCAATTTGCGGCCCAGGACGGAGAGGGGAACGGGCAGCGGGGCAGCAACACAATGTTGTTGGTGTCGGTGCCGTTGCCGGTGCGTGGGCGCTGGCCAGGGCGTAGGCCAAGTCACGATTTGGTCAATCAAGCTTCGACTTTAGCTCATTTCAACTCCTATTTCAGATCCATCTTCCTCTTCAATTTCATCTCTGCATCTCTGCATCTGCGCAACTCAAACTCCCAGCTGTAACTTCAGCACACATTTTCCATATGCAACTGCAGGGGCTTGGGGTTAGCTTTATGATCGCACCCCAGGAGTATGGTTGCCCCGCCGCCACCATGCTGAG